CTGGTGAATTGGTGGACGGCTGGTGGATTGGTGGACGGCTGGTGGATTGGTGGACGGCTGGTGGATTGGTGGACGGATGGTGGATTGGTGGACGGTTGGTAAACCGGTGGGGGGGGGGGGGTAGACTGGTGGACGGCTGGTAGTTTGGTGGATGGCTGGTTGACTGGTGGGCGGCTGGTGGACGGCTGGTGGATTGATGGACGGATGGTAGACTGGTGGACGGATGGTAGACTGGTGGACGGCTGGTGAATTGGTGGACGGCTGGTGGATTGGTGGACGGATGGTGGATTGGTGGACGGATGGTGAATTGGTGGACGGCTGGTAGACGGGTGGACGGCTGGTGGATTGGCGGACGGCTGGTGGATTGGTGGACGGATGGTGGATTGGTGGACGGATGGTGAATTGGTGGACGGCTGGTAGACGGGTGGACGGCTGGTGGATTGGCGGACGGCTGGTAAACTGGTGGACGGCTGGTAGACGGTTGGTAGGTTGGTGGGCGGCTGGTAAACTGGTGGACGGCTGGTAGTTTGGTGGAGGGCTGGTAAACCGGTGGGGGGGGGGGGCTGGTAGACTGGTGGACGGCTGGTAAACCGGTGAGGGGAGGGGGGGTGGTAGACTGGTGGACGGCTGGTAGTTTGGTGGACGGCTGGTAAACCGGTGGGGGGGGGCTGGTAGACTGGTGGACGGCTGGTAGTTTGGTGGCCGCCTGGTAGTTTGGTGGACGGCTGGTAAACCGGTGGGGGGGGGGGGCTGGTAGACTGGTGGACGGCTGGTAAACCGGTGGGGGGGGGGGGCTGGTAGACTGGTGGACGGCTGGTAAACCGGTGAGGGAAGGGGGGGGTGGTAGACTGGTGGACGGCTGGTAGTTTGGTGGACGGCTGGTAAACCGGTGGGGGGGGGGGCTGGTAGACTGGTGGACGGCTGGTAGTTTGGTGGCCGCCTGGTAGTTTGGTGGACGGCTGGTGGACGGCTGGTAGTTTGGTGGACGGCTGGTAGACTGGTGGACGGCTGGTAGACTGGTGGACGGCTGGTGGTTTGGTGGACGGCTGGTAGACTGGTGGACGGCTGGTGGTTTGGTGGACGGCTGGTGGATTGGTGGACGGCTGGTGGACGGCTGGTAGTTTGGTGGACGGCTGGTAGGTTTGTGGACGGCTGTTGGATTGGTGGACGGCTGGGAGATTTGTCGACGGCTGGTAGTTTGGTGGACGGCTGGTAGTTTGGTGTACGGCTGTTGGATTGGTGGACGGCTGGGAGATTTGTGGACGGCTGGTAGTTTGGTGGACGGATGGTAGCTTAGTCTTTGGATGACTGATAGCCAGATGTTATGTCATATGTGCATATAGGTGCATGCAACATGAGATGTCATGTCTGGTGCGTCTATGATTTATGTCATTTTGTTTTGTTTCTTTAATGGGCATCCGTAAATTGTATTCCATTTTGTGAAAAGTACATTCAGTTGACATTTTTTTCTGATCAGATAATAGATCTATTTATAGATCGCTACCAGGCCTAGTAAATTAGGCAATTTTTTAGATTCAGCAAAAATTTGGATAAATATGTCAAAGAGCTTATTTGTATTATTAAAAGAAGTTAAGATTATAGAAATATTACAGAAACCATAAAATATTATAAAATGCATTTGACCATGTTTTACATTTGACCATGTTTTATAAAAAGTATCTGCTATATGTCATACGATTGTTTTTACTTCTAGTTTCTATGCTAAATAACGTTTACATTCTTTTTAATGTGTTGTCGTTGTTTGAACTTACTATTTATACATTGTTACAATGTAGCTTACATCTCTGGGGTTTACAAAAAAATATAAGTAATTTTAAATTTTAGTAAAGACTGTAGCAGATACGATTTTGCCTTTTAGCAATATTTTGTTTTCGGCTCGGTAAAGAGAGAATGTCTTTATCAGAGAATAGTTACATTTAAAAAAGAAAGCATAACGTTTGCCTATCTTTCAATGTATTTATATGAGTGATTTCCCATGAATTGAATATTTTGAACTGTTGCACTACATGGAAAAAATGTGGACTTATCTATTTCTGAAGCACAGACTTTGCAGTAGATTTTGTCACTCATTGAATACTTTTATGAGAAGTAAAGCTATCCCGTGTATAGTATATAAAACTTCAAAGGTTAAATTTTAAAAAAAATTGAAAACTATAAAAAGCAATTGGATATCCTTTAATACCATTATAACATTTTAGTTTTAGCTATTATTAAACAAAGTGTAAAATACGGAATAATACAACAAAACTATATCAGAAAGCAAATTTTATACATAACAAATGTTATAAAGAACACTCCAACGGATATAATTTTTTCATAAGTTTATTTAATGAATTATGTTTTGCGAAAATACTGCTTTGGTCAATCTAGAAATGTGTCAACACATTTGTTTGCTGAGCGTGTTGGTGTCACCCCACCTCTCTGAAGATGTTGATCTGTACTTAAAATAGAACTGAAAAAAAAGCATTTCTAGCATTTTTTCATCATACAATTACAACAACAAAAATTCAAATAATCAGCAGACCAGCGAGAATTAGAACAAAAAAAACCAATTAAAAACAGATACCAAGATCTAATTTTGACAGAAGGAGTAAAGAGCAACGAGAGCAAATATAACAATTACACATCTGATTTAATCTTTTTCATTGGATAGTCGCAGATTCCGATTTCAAGGCTAATTTTTTTTTTAACAAAATGTCTAAATGCTTAGTGTTTTCTGTGTGGACAAATGTGGCTGGTGATGTTATACACTTTTCTGTGGCCACACCTGTAGAGATATATAATATTAATGTCATTAATCACTCACTCACTCACTCACTCACTCACTCACTCACTCACTCACTCACTCACTCACTCACTCACTCACTCACTCACTCACTCACTCACTCACTCACTCACTCACTCACTCACTCACTCACTCACTCACTCACTCACTTCATTCCACTCACTCACTCACTCACTCACTCACTCACTCACGCACTCACTCACTCACTCACTCACTCACTCACTCACTCACTCACTTCATTCCATTCACTCACTCACTCACTCACTCACTCACTCACTCACTCACTCACTCACTCACTCACTCACGCACTCACTCACTCACTCACTCACTCACTCACTCACTCACTCACTTCATTCCATTCACTCACTCACTCACTCACTCACTCACTTCATTCCATTCACTCACTCACTCACTCACTCACTCACTCACTCACTCACTCACTCACGCACTCACTCACTCACTCACTCACTCACTCACTCACTTCATTCCATTCACTCACTCACTCACTCACTCACTCACTCACTCACTCACTCACTAACTCACTCACTCACTCACTCACTCACTCACTTACTCACTCACCCCATTCCTTCACTCACTAACTCACTCCATTCCATTCACTCACACACTCACTCCACTCCATTCCATTCCATTCACTCACTCACTCACTCACTCACTCACTCACTCACTCACTCACTCACTCACTCACTCACTTACTCACTCACTCACTCACTCCATTCCATTCCATTCACTCACTCACTCACTCACTCAATCGTTATATACTAGCAAGTCATTCTAATTAACGTTCATGTAAACAAATAAACAGATTAGCAAAAAATAATTATCTTCCAACTCTTTAATCTCCATCCTATAACACCTAATATTGTACGTGGTCAGCGCCCAGATGGACCTCATGGACGATCTCGGCCTCTTGCTGCGTGCTCGTGTCATGGCCGTAACCTTTTCACTTAGCGGCCGGTGTCTAAACTCGCTCTGATCAAGGGTAACGGCTTCATTTGATTGCTGGCCCGCTAAAGCTGTGGGTACTCAGTGCCACGTCTGTGGGTACTCAGTGCCACTGATGTGGGTACTCAGTGCCACTGATGTGGGTACTCAGTGCCAAGGGTGTGGGTACTCAGTGCCACGGCTGTGGGTACTCAGTGCCACTGATGTGGGTACTCTGTGCCACGGCTGTGGGTACTCAGTGCCACGGCTGTGGGTACTCGGTGCCACGGCTGTGGGTACTCAGTGCCACTGTTGTGGGTACTCAGTGCCACTGATGTGGGTACTCAGTGCCACGGCTGTGGGTACTCAGTGCCACTGATGTGGGTACTCGGTGCCACGGCTGTGGGTACTCAGTGCCACTGATGTGGGTACTCAGTGCCACTGATGTGGGTACTCAGTGCCACTGATGTGGGTACTCAGTATCACTGCTGTGGGTACTCAATACTACTCTTGTGAGTACTCACCGAAACTGTATTTTTCACGAGATGAGGGTCTATGCTCAGTGTTATTATTGTCCTGGTCACTGAGAAAACCTTGCTCTAGTGGTATCTAGGATAGTGGTTCACCACCCCACATCCTGTGGTCTTACCTCATTTAGTTTTTTATATTCTCCCAATTTCTTACACTGCTATTTCTAAACTAAAAGCTTTGTATTGTACTCAGCAGCATGATCACATTACTCCACACATGATATATACAGTGAAAGAGAATATATTGTACATCCTACACTCAGTGGCGTAGCGAGGTCGGGTGTCACCCGGTGCGGTCCGAACCCCCCCCCCCCCCTCGCTACGCCTCTGCCTACACTTATACTTGAAGAAATTACGTCTTAGCGAGGGATCTCATCCAGCCATATTCTCTACCGCTGAACAATTTTACGTCTTGTTGCCGGATGTCGCGAAAACGCGATCAAGCATAATCGGAAAATAACTTCCTAAATTATTCTAATTTGTGATTAATACAATTTGTACATACAGAAGAGTGAATAATAAAGTTATTATTATTGTTGATGAACAATGGATCACTGATTTAGTAATAATAATAATAATAATTGAAAGTAGGTCGAATTCACAAAGTCAAAAAATAAAGTACGTGTCAAAACACATAAAACAAACAACAGATAAGTACATAAACGCTTACTAATATTTATATATTATAAAATATAATTTTTATATATTTTTAAAATTGTGTCATAATTATGTAAAAAATTGAAAATGACATGTATAAAGATATTTAAACAAAACAGTATAAGCCTATTACGGATAGAAAAACCTTCACTGGAGAGCAAACAACGCTATGGTCTCCTAAGGTGTTTAGTGTGTCGGTGTTTGAATTATTTGAAGCCTGAAATAAAAAAAAATAAAAAATACAAGTGACAAGTTTAACCAAGACGTAAAGAAATATTACCTGGAAAATCGTATCTTCAACAGATACTGGCAACATTACCTAGATAAAATTATCTTTATCTCTAATTGGTACCATTACGTACATAAAATTATTTCTAACAGATACTGGCAACACTACCTAGATTCAATTATCTTTAACTGATGTTGGTAACATTACCTAGATACAATTTTCTTTAACTATTATTGGCAACATTAATAAGATAAAAGCACCTTTAACTGCTTTTGTTGTCATTACCTAGATAAAACCATTTTTAAGTGTTTGAAAACAATTCGGTTATTCAGTCAGAAAGTGTAAAACAAATCAAAAAAGATACTGATGTCAGCTCACCTTGACCCAGACCTTAAGATTCCAGTTTTTGTCATGTTCACAGAGTTCATACGGGGGGTTTCTCCAGTGAGAGTGAAACAGATCAGGAAACTCAGCCGTCATGTTAAGATAGGAATGTAGCTACGGACAACTGGCTAACCAGACAGGAGAAGCTAAAATGTGTTTGGTATATCGTCCAATGTTGTTTTTTCTAGAGACGGACCCTGTGCTGAATGAAGGGGGAAGAGGTTGTTAAAAATATCAATATATATATATATATATATATATATATATATATATATATATATATATATATATATATATAAGTATCACTATATTGTTGGTTAGTTTATCCGTCTGTTTGTATATCTGTCATTTATGCTATACTGAAACCATCTATCCGAGTGCCATTAATCTTTGAGAAGTTGTTGAATCCAGCGAACATTACTGGCATTTTTTTTTAAATCCCAGGTCTCGCGTCTAAAACTACACCTGTGGTAACGCTATGAAGAAACCCTCCTAAAAAGTTGGGTCACCCTGGCGTGGATGTGAAACATACCCAAAAGAAACAATCCGGTCATCAGACATCAAAGAACAATCAGTCGTATACATAAGAGTGCCGTACACTTCAATCGATATCTGAACCAGGGGTAGCACCTGGCGCCCCTACGGTAGTGTTACCAGTGTAACCCTGACTTAAGGGCGGTCCCGGGGGGGGGATGTTCTATCTCATGCCTGTGGAGCGTGATTAACGTACCATCAAGGTTTTCATACGGCCCACCAGTGTTTCTTCCAGCCTTTTTTCTCCGGGGGGAGGGGGCACACTTGAAATTTGTTAAAAGTATATATTTTCTATATAAATTCCATTTTGTTCGGGGGGGGGGGGGCGGTAGACTTTCTTCGTGGTGGGGGGTGGTCCTCCGAAGAGATGCCTGGAAGAAACATTGCGACCCGCCTTGGGTCTTGTGGGCAATAGTGTGGATATGCTCAAAATCCAAGAAAAGTAGAGCCGACATTGTTTAAAAAAAAATTTAAATAATTCTCCAATCAACGGGAAATTTGAAATTTGATATCTAAGAATGGCTGATATCCCAAACTGAAACTGCTAATATTTGAACGGCACATTACACATAATCTACATATTTGTTTTTACTCCAACCCTCCAAAGCCTGTGGGCCCAAATCGCCCCGCACCTGCGCTTAACCTTTACCATTAACAAAATTCTGAGTAAATGGTGAAGACAATTTGAACTGATTAATAAAATACTTAAAAAAAACTTTTTAAAAAACCACGTTTTTCTTGTGGACTAAAAAGTAGAAAATAACTATTTACATACATTTGATGACAAAAAACGTGGGTCGGGCAGATGGGTCGGGAAATTTGATGGTGAACGTACCCACGTTTTTTGTCATCAAATGTATGTAAATAGTTATTTTCTACTTTTTAGTCCACAAGAAAAACGTGGTTTTTTAAAAAGTTTTTTTTAAGTATTTTATTTTCTACTTTTTAGTCCACAAGAAAAACGTGGTTTTTTAAAAAGTTTTTTTTAAGTATTTTATTTTCTCCTTTTTAGTCCGTTGCTACACATGAAAAACGTGGTTTTTAAAAAAGTTTTTTATATAGTTTATTTTCTACTTTATCTAATGACTTGATTAAGTATGAATTGACTAAGTGTTTATAAATACACGGACTAAAAAAATCTTGAGCGACCAGGATTCGAACCTGGGTTGTCGCGGCCACAACGAGAAGTACTAACCACTATACGATCACGGCCAGCGCGCTCACATCGATTGGGGCCGAAGTAACTGTGTCGATAAGCCTCCAGTCTTGTCGGTATCTTTAGAAATCATGTCCTCAATTTTATGGTCCTTGGGGCGTAATTAAATTAAGCTAATTACGGTCTCTAATTGCTAGTTTTTATGATTGCATCTGAAATTGTTAGGCGAAAGTAGCATGCATGCCAAATTTCAGGTCTATAGAGCAATCAGAAGTGGGCTAATTTTCGATGTCAATTTTAACAACAAACACACGCGAAGCTGAGTTAATAAAAACGTGTTAAAAAAATGTAAATACCTTGAGGGAAGGACGAAAAACTCTAATGTTTCTTCTTGTGCCCTTTGATGTGACGATGTTTGTAGGCTGAAATTAAAACACAGAAATACAACTGTAAACACCTGGCCAGATCAAATTTCAACAAAAAAAGTAAAACCAGCTGCCCAAAGCTTACTGTAATAGAAGACGAAGATAGAGACAGCCAGGCACACAAGAACGACTGCACATTCGGTCAATGTGGGAGTGTTGTATTCTTGTACGTTGTTGTCTTCTTGCACGTCCGGACAACATGTTCCGTTGCAGCACCCGGTTGGGCATTCAAAATACTCTGAAGTTTTGATTTCAAAAGAAATGAACCAGCCAAAAAAGAAATTGTACTGAGAAACGTGGCTTGTGACGTTCAGGCATCCTTCTGCCGTCACACCTGTAGAGATCGATAATATTAATGTATTTCTTCACTCACTGAACCCGCTCACTTACTCACTCGCTCACGCACTCACTCACTCACTCCATTCATTAATTACATTCATGCACCCATTCAGTTCGCTCACTCACCCCGCTCACTCAATCACATCACTCACCTACGCACTTATTCACGCACACATACATTCACTCACCCCATTCACTAACTCTATTCATTCACTCCATTCACATACTTCACTCATTCACTCACTCCATTCACTCACTCCATTCACTCACTCCATACACTCACTCCATACACTCACTCCATTCACTCACTCCATTTTCTCACTCCATACACACACTCCATTCACTCACTCCATTTTCTCACTCCATTTTCTCACTCCATTCACTCACTCCATTCACTCACTCCATTGACTCACTCAATTCACTCACTCCATACACTCACTGCATAAACTCACTCCATTCACTCACTCCGTACACTCACTCCATTCACTCACTCCATTTTCTCACTCCATTCACTCACTCCATTCACTCACTGCATTCACTCACTCCATTGACTCACTCCATTTTCTCACTCTATTCACTCACTCCATACACTCACTCCATAAACTCACTCCATACACTCACTCCATTCACTCACTCCATTTTCTCACTCTATTCACTCACTCCATACACTCACTCCATTCACTCACTCCATTCACTCACTCACTCCATTCAGCAAGTCTATTCACTCATTCCAGCCACTTACTCCATTCATCCACTCATTCATTCACGCAATCGATATACTGACTCGCTCTATTCACTCATTTAATTCATTCTACAATCGTTACATCCTAGCAAGCCATTGAACTCACCGTTCATGTTAACAAACAAAAAGAGCAGGAAAAGAACTTTCTGGAAACTGTTCACTGTCCATCTTCTACACGTCACGCTCACGTGCTCTGTCCCCAGCTGGACCTCATGGACGAACTTGACCTCATGCTGCGGGGTCAGTGTCATGGCCGTAACCTTTGAACTTGGCTGCACTAAACTGATCTGATCAATGGCTAATGGCTTCGTTTCATTGATGGCCCGCTCCCCCAGTGGTGGTACGGGGAGATCTTCCAGAGGCCAGGGCGGTACAAGCTCCATCTGAAAATACAGCTATTTTTTCAACCAACACCAATTTTTGTTTGCCCCACCCCCATTAAAAGGTTATTAACGTCTCATTATAAACGCCCATCCCACTTAACATTTTCATGAAACAATACCTCTCCTCCTACCTACCTAGAAAATGTTGTGTTATATACTTATGGCGATTCATTTTTAAAACTCTACCCTTATAGCATACTAGAACAAAAATTTAATTTATGTTAAATAATATTTGCACGAATGTCTAAAGGCCCTAGTTCAGGGGTCGGCAACCTTTTGAGACAGAAGAGCCAAAAGTTACAATTTACAAAACTTCCCTGTTTTTAAAGAGCCACTAACATTTTTATTTCAGTATTTTATTATTTGATTAGGATTAGGTAAATAAATTTGATTTGTTATTTAAAATAAATAGCTTTAAATATGAAATAATGTTTATTTATATAAAAACATTAGTAATTTAAAAAAAAAAACTACATGGCTGTCCCAATCCACTTTAGAAGCAGTTAACTTATGTTTCTTTCTTTACGGACATCACCAGTGGCGTAGGCAGTAGGGGGGGGGGGTCATAGCCCCCCCCCCCATAGACCCCTCGGTATATATATATAAAAAGTATGAAGGGGGGGTGCAAATCGAAAGTTTGTCCACGGGTAAAAATTGTAACCCCCCCCCCCCCCCCAAAGACGATCCTGGCTACGCCACTGGACATCATCGGTTCAGGAGGTGTCTGCCATTAGCCAGGCAGGTCTCAACACGGCTAACTTCGACTGACTGGCTTGGATATCGGTTTGATTACCGTGTATCGATCACTTCTGTCCTGCGGGTCTCACCAGGCCTATCTTCCAAGTTCCACCCCGCTGAATGCAGGGTAAACTCGTAAGAATAGTCGTCACTGGACTGGCTAAAGCACAGATTCGGGGCTGGGCCTGGTGCCCAAGCGACTGTCAGCTCTCCGTGTACCCTCTACTCCACCTATTCTCTGATGAGTGCTTTTATTCTGTTTAAAGTTGTGTTTTTTTACAGTATAATTTTTGTTATGAGTTTTGAAAATGAAATAATGTAACTATTAATAATAGTACAAGGAGTTGCAGAGCCGCATCTCGACATCAAAAGAGCCGCATGCGGCTCGCTAGCCGCAGGTTGCCGACCCCTGCCCTAGCTTATTCTTTAGTTTTCCTATCTTAGGAAAATTCCTTAGAAATAGACATGCAGAACTATAAGCTATAAGCTATATCATAAAACGTATTTAAAAAATCTTTGTCACATCAAAACTTCCCCATAATAATTTGTTAAACTTATTAGCAAATGTATCACACACATCTTTCAAGCTGAAGATGAAGCAAATTCTGGATCGTTAGGAAGGGCGGTAGCCACTGTAATGCGTTGTTATAAAGGAAAATAACAATAAAATCAGCTTAATGAATTGAAAATTTCATAAAATGTTTATACTAATCATTTAAAATAATATATTAGATCTACCTGTGAAATGGTGTTGAGCAGCCAGATAGAATTTTTCAGATGCGAAGGTGCGGTCTGTGCGCCATGCAGTTCAAGGTGCGGTCTGTGCGCCATGCAGTTCAAGGTGCGGTCTGTGCGCCATGCAGTTCAAGGCGCGAAAAAGCGCGTTAAAAATAGCAGTGTTGTGAATGTGTTGGATTGATATAGTTATGAGACAGTAAAGGGTGGTAGTAAACATTAGTGTAGGTTAATTAAGAGACAAATATTTTCAAATCAACTTGTCAACTGAACAAAAATGATCAAAACGCAACTTCGCTACACATCAGAAACGATAACACACAGTTAACACCTCACATCAATTTACTTTTGTAAAATGTTGACACGGTTGAAATGAGTAAAACAAAAGTTCTAAAATGTGAAAAAAAAACAACAGTTGGTATAAGACACATCTGTTGGTGTGTTTGAAAACAGTTGGTATAAGACACAACATCAGTTGGCTGGTGTGTTGACAACAGTTGGCATAAGACACAACATCTGTTGGTGTGTTGACAACAGTTGGCATAAGACACAACATCTGTTGGTGTGTTGACAACAGTTGGTATAAGACACAACATCTGTTGGTGTGTTGGAAAACAGTTGGTATAAGACACAACATCTGTTGGTGTGTTGACAACAGTTGGCATAAGACACAACATCTGTTGGTGTGTTGACAACAGTTGGTATAAGACACAACATCTGTTGGTGTGTTGGAAAACAGTTGGTATAAGACACAAAATCTGTTGGTGTGTTGACAACAGTTGGTATAAGACACAACATCCGTTGGCTGGTGTGTTGACAACAGTTGGTATAAGACACAACATCTGTTGGTGTGTTGACAACAGTTGGTATAAGACACAACATCTGTTGGCTGGTGTGTTGACAACAGTTGGTATAAGACACAACATCTGTTGGTGTGTCGACAACAGTTGGCATAAGACACAACATCTGTTGGTGTGTTGACAACAGTTGGTATAATACACAACATCTGTTGGTGTGTTGACAACAGTTGGCATAAGACACAACATCTGTTGGTGTGTTGACAACAGTTGGTATAAGACACAACATCTGTTGGCTGGTGTGTTGACAACAGTTGGTATAAGACACAACATCTGTTGGTGTGTCGACAACAGTTGGCATAAGACACAACATCTGTTGGTGTGTTGACAACAGTTGGTATAATACACAACATCTGTTGGTGTGTTGACAACAGTTGGCATAAGACACAACATCTGTTGGTGTATTGGAAAACAGTTGGTATAAGACACAACATCCGTTGGCTGGTGTGTTGACAACAGTTGGTATAAGACACAAAATCTGTTGGTGTGTTGACAACAGCTGGTATAAGACACAAAATCTGTTGGTGTGTTTGAAAACAGTTGGTATAAGACACAACATCTGTTGGTGTATTGGAAAACAGTTGGTATAAGACACAACATCCGTTGGCTGGTGTGTTGACAACAGTTGGTATAAGACACAACATCTGTTGGTGTGTTGACAACAGCTGGTATAAGACACAAAATCTGTTGGTGTGTTTGAAAACAGTTGGTATAAGACACAACATCTGTTGGTGTGTTGGAAAACAGTTGGTATAAGACACAACATCTGTTGGTGTGTTGACAACAGTTGGTATAAGACACAACATCTGTTGGTGTGTTGACAACAGTTGGTATAAGACACAACATCTGTTGGTGTGTTGACAACAGCTGGTATAAGACAGAACATCTGTTGGTGTGTTGACAATAGTTGGTATAAGACACAACATCTGTTGGTGTGTTGACAACAGTTGGTATAAGACACAAAATCTGTTGGTGTGTTTGAAAACAGTTGGTATAAGACACAACATCCGTTGGCTGGTGTGTTGACAACAGTTGGTATAAGACACAACATCTGTTGGTGTGTTGACAACAGTTGGTATAAGACACAACATCTGTTGGTGTGTTGACAACAGTTGGTATAAGACACAAAATCTGTTGGTGTGTTGACAACAGTTGGTATAAGACACAACATCCGTTGGCTGGTGTGTTGACAACAGTTGGTATAAGACACAACATCTGTTGGTGTGTTGACAACAGTTGGTATAAGACACAAAATCTGTTGGTGTGTTTGAAAACAGTTGGTATAAGACACAACATCCGTTGGCTGGTGTGTTGACAACAGTTGGTATAAGACACAACATCTGTTGGTGTGTTGACAACAGTTGGTATAAGACACAACATCTGTTGGTGTGTTGACAACAGTTGGTATAAGACACAACATCTGTTGGTGTGTTGACAACAGTTGGTATAAGACACAACATCTGTTGGTGTGTTGACAACAGTTGGTATAAGACACAACATCTGTTGGTGTGTTGACAACAGTTGGTATAAGACACAACATCTGTTGGTGTGTTGACAACAGTTGGTATAAGACACAACATCTGTTGGTGTGTTGACAACAGTTGGTATAAGACACAACATCTGTTGGTGTGTTGACAACAGTTGGTATAAGACACAACATCTGTTGGTGTGTTGACAACAGTTGGTATAAGACACAACATCTGTTGGTGTGTTGGAAAACAGTTGGTATAAGACACAACATCTGTTGGTGTGTTGGAAAACAGTTGGTATAAGACACAACATCTGTTGGTGTGTTGACAACAGTTGGTATAAGACACAACATCCGTTGGCTGGTGTGTTGACAACAGTTGGTATAAGACACAACATCTGTTGGTGTGTTGACAACAGCTGGTATAAGACACATCTGTTGGCTGGTGTGTTGACAACAGCTGGTATAAGACACAACATCTGTTGGTGTGTTGACAACAGCTGGTATAAGACACAAAATCTGTTGGTGTGTTGACAACAGCTGGTATAAGACACAACATCTGTTGGTGTGTTGACAACAGTTGGTATAAGACACAACATCTGTTGGTGTGTTGACAACAGTTGGTATAAGACACAAAATCTGTTGGTGTGTTGGAAAACAGTTGGTATAAGACACAACATCTGTTGGTGTGTTGGAAAACAGTTGGTAAAAGACAGCACTAGTTGGCATTGTAAAGGGAAAAGTAAAGAACATTACCTTTAAAGGAGACAAAAGGTTATCAAAATTTAGGGCAATTTATTTTAATTAATGGTTTTAAATTAAAACGCATCTTATACAATTCAAGTAAACAGGCCTATATCAAAGCATGCATTACGTGCAAGCAGAATGAATAAGACAAAAGTTAATTCAAATTATAAAAACTTTAAGTAAACAATCCTTATATAGACTTGCACAGAATAAAATATAATTTATAACTGGTTACAAACTGATAAATAAATATTTTTATATTTCCACTATGTATATCATTGAACAAAATTATGAACATTGGCGTTTAAAGCTGTCGGAATTTTAAAAAGTTTAGTTGGGAAATGAAAGACTCGTTGAATAACTCATTTTCTCGCGTTACTTGAAAGTTTTTTACTCTCTCACATCGTCCTAACGTACCAGATGTGCCGATGATGTCATCAACAGACAATCATGTCTCAGACCGTTCCAATTGACTTGCATAATATGAGAATTGTGGTCACCCTCGCAGTGTGATCAAAGTGTAGTCCAAACAGAGTTCATACGGGGGGTTTCTCCAGTGCGAGTGAGACAGATCAGGAAACTCAGCCGTCATGTTAAGATAGGAATGTAGCTACGGACAACTGGCTAATCAGACAAGGGGAGCAAAATAGGTTTGGAATAACGTCTACGGGTGTGTTTTTTTCAGGTACAGGCACTGTGCTGAATGAAAGAGAAAGAGGTTGTTAAAAACACACACACATATATATATATATATATATATATATATATATATATATATATATATATATATATATATATATATATATATATATATATATATATATATAAGTATGACTATTTTGTTAGTTAGTTTATCCGTCTGTTTGTGTATCTGTCAGTTATGCTATACTGAAACCATCTACAGAGGCGTAGCGACCCTTCCCGGCGCCCGGGGACATACTTTCAATTTGGCGCCCCCCTCGGGAGCAAATTTTCGATTTGCACCCCTCTCGAACTTTTCATTTGCACCCCCCCCTCAAACTTTCGATTTGCACCCCCCCCTCGAACTTTCCATTTGCACCCCCCCCCTCAAACTTTCAATTTGGCGCCCCCCCCCCTAAGGTCGGCGCCCGGGGACATATGTCCCCCCTCGCTACGCCTCTGACCATCTATCCGAGTGCCATTAATTTTTGGGAAGTCGTTAAATCCAGCGAACATTACTGGCATTTTTTATTTTTAAATCCGAGATCTCACATCTAAAAATACACCTTTGGTAACGCGTTGAGGAAACCCTCCTAAAAAGTTGGGTCACCCTGGCGTGGATGTGAAACATACCCACAAGAAACAATCCGGTCATCAGACAGCAAAGAACAATCAGTCGTATACATAAGAGTGCCGTACACTTCAATCGATGTCTGAACCAGGGTAGCACCTGGCGCCCCTACGGTAGTGTAACCAGTGTAACCCTGACTTAAAGGCGGTCCCGGGGGATGCTCTATCTCATGTTTGTGGAGCGTGATTAACGTACCATCAATGTTTTCATACGGCCCAACCTAGGGCTTGTGGGCAATAGTGTGAATATACCCGCGCCATAACGTTCAAAATCCAAGAAAAGTAGTGCCGACATTGTTTACTTTTAAATAACTCCAATCAAAGAAAAAATAATAATTTGATATCGAAGAATAGCTGATATCCCAAACTGAAACTGTTGATATTTTAACGGCACATCACACAGAAGTGGGGATTAATGCTAATCTACATATTTGTTTTTACTCCAACCCTCGTACGCCTATTGTCCAGAACCGCCCCACACCTGCGCTTAACCTTACCATTAACAAAAGAATATAGGCTTGAATTCTGAGTAAATGGTGAAGACAATTTGAACTGATAAAAAATGTAAAAACCTTGAGGGAAGGACGACAAACTAATGTTTCTTCTTGTGGCCTTTGATGTGACGATGTTTGTAGGCTGAAATTAAAACACAAAGAAATTAGAAATACAACTGTAAACACCTGGCCAGATCAAGTTTCAACAAAAAAGAAAAACCAACTGCCCAAAGCTTACTGTGATAGAAGACGAAGATACTGACAGCCAGGCACACAAGAACAACTGCACATTCGGTCAATGTGGGAGTGTTGTATTCTTGTACGTTGGAAGTGTTGCCTTCTTGTCCATTGGGAAAGTTGTCTTCTTGTCCGTTGGAATTGTTGTCTTTTTGTCCGTTGGGAATGTTGTCTTTTTGTCCGTTGGGAGTGTTGTCTTCTTGTCCGTTGGGAAAGTTGTCTTTTTGTCCGTTGGGAGTGTTGTCTTTTTGTCCGTTGGGAAAGTTGTCTTCTTGTCCGTTGGGGAAGTTGTCTTCCTGTCCGTTGGGAAAGTTGTCTTCTTGTCCGTTGGGAGTGTTGTCTTCTTGTTCATTAGGGAAGATGTCTTCTTGTCCGTTGGGAAAGTTGTCTTCCTGTCCGTTGGGAAAGTTGTCTTCCTGTCCGTTGGGAAAGTTGTCTTCTTGTACGACTGGACAACATTTTCCGTTGCAGCAACCGACTGGGCATTCAAAATATTCTGAAGTTTTGATTTCAAAAGACAAACACCAGCGAAAAGAGTATATGCGTTTAGAAAGGTGGCTGGTGACCTTCAGGCATCCTTCTGCCGTCACACCTGTAGAGATTAATAATATTAATGTATTTCTTCACTCACTGAACCCGCTCACTCACTCACTCGCTCACGCATTCATTCACTCCATTCACTCCTTACATTCATTTATTCACTCACTCAATCACTCACTCACGCACACATACACTCACTCACTCCATTCACTAACTCTATTCACTTACTCCATTCACTTACTCCATTCACTTACTTCACTTATTGACTCCATTCATTTACTCATTCCATTCACTCATTCCATTCACTTACTTCACTCCATTTACTCACTACATTTACTCACTCCATTCACTCACTTTATACACTCACTCACTCCTTTTACTCACTTCATTCACTCACTCCATTCACCAAGTCTATTCACTCATTCCAGTCGCATACTCCATTCATCCACTCATTTTAGTCACTCGATTCATTCACTCCATTCACTTATTCCATTCACTCACTCCATTTACTAACTCTATTCACTCATTCCATTCACTTATTCAATTCATTCACTCACTCTGTTTACTCATTCATTCACGCAAACTCATTCTACAATCGTTACATCCTAGCAAGCCATTGAACTTACTGTTCATGTTAACAAATAAACAGAGCAGGAAAAGAACTTTCTGGAAACGGTTCACTGTCCATTTTCTACACGTCACGCTCACGTGCTCTGTCCCCAGCTGGACCTCATGGACGAACTTGACCTCATGCTGCGGGGTCAGTGTCATGGCCGTAACCTTTGAACTTGGCGGCACTAAACTGATCTGATCAAGGGCTAATGGCTTGGTTGGTTTGATGACCCGCTCCCCCAGTGGGCAAGCGGATAGATCTTCCAAAGGGCAGGGTCGTACAAGCTGAATCTCAAAACACAGTTATGTGTTCAACCTACGATAGCGTATACATAATATACCAACTCAATTTTTATACGTTTGCCCCACCCCCGTTAAAAGGTTATTAATTAACGTCTCATTATAAACGACCATCCCACTTAACATTTTCATGAAACAATATCTCTCCTCCTACCAACCTAGAAAATTTTGTGTTATAAACTTAAGGCAGTTTAATTTCAAAACTCTACCCTTATAACACAATAGAAAAAAATTAACTTGTTATATAATATTTGCACGAATGTTTAAAGGCCCTAGCTTATTCTTTAGTTTTCCTATCTTTGGAAAATTCCTTAGAAATTGGCCTGCAGAACTATAAGCTATATCATGAAACGTATAAAAGAAGTTGGTCACATAAAAACATCCCCATAATTAATTTGCTAAACTTATTAGCAAATGTATCACACACATCTTTCAAGCTAGTAATTGAGGAAATAAATTTGTAAATGTAATTAAAGTAGTAATTATTAACTACTAATTAACTATTAATTAAAAGTAAATGTATTTAAAAACAAAAGCTTTTTCCAAACGTGTCGTGAGATGAAGCAAATTCTGATTCGTTATGAAGGGCGGTACCCACTGTCAAGCGTTGTTTTAATGCAGTTATTGTTTCTAGATAATCTAGACCTAGAAATACTTCTTAGACATTTCAATATTCAGTCGGGATCAATAAGCCAGTTTAGCGTAACATGAACAAAAAAGATTTTTTTTCTTTAAAAAAGAAAGATAAAAATAAAATCAGCTTAATAAATTGAAAATTTTATAAAATGTTCCTATTAATCGTTAAAATAAGATATTAGATCTAGGCCTACCTGTGCAATGGTGTTGCGCAGATGCGAAGGTGCGGTTCAATGAAGTTCAATGGCGCCAAAAAGCGCGTTAAAAATAGCAGTGTTGTGAATGGGTTCGATGTGTGTAGTTATAGTGCAGTATAATTGGCCTTAACATTAGCGTAGGTTAAGCGACATTTTTAGCGCTATTTCCATTCTGGAGAATTGCGTTTATTAACTCGTCTTTTCTGGGAAAGTGTGACCGCAGCTTTAAGTCGTATCTCCTACTCAACAAAGCAATATCGAGGACTAGTTCCAAAGCAAATATGTTAAGCAAGTTCCAAGGATGATTGTGGGCCAAAAAAATTCCCGGAACTCCTTCCTGGATTTCCCGGAAAAGCCAAAAAACCTCGAACAAATGCAGTTTTTGCTCCATATCTCGGCAACCAGACCACTTAGCGACTTGAAACATTTACCAATCGATTCCTGCCATAATTTAGAACAATATTGCCGAAGAAAGTTTTCAAAAATATCCTTTCGTTTAGTCACAAAAAAATATTTACTACTTTTTTAAACTGAGCTTCTTGTAGGCCTAGGATGAACATTTAAACTGAGCATCGTGTAGGCTTTTTTCCCCTTTTTTTTTCGACTGATACGGGAGGCTAGCCTGTCGCGACGTGGGATCGTTCGCGTCACTGCGCGCGGCAAGAGAGAGAGAGAGAGAGAGAGAGAGGCGAGCTACGCGTCGCTCGTTTTTTTCCACGTGCTAATGTTTACAAACAAGAGGCAGAGGCGTAGCGACCCCTCCCGGCGCCCGGGGCGAACATTACGTTTGGCGCCCCGCCATATATAATTATATATATATATATATATATATATATATATATATATATATATATATATGTGTGTGTGTGTGTGTGTGTGTGTGTGTGTGTGTGTGTGTGTGTGTGGGTGTGCAACAGTCTTAAAAAAAATTAATAGTTACGCTGTATGATTGTCGTTCCCTAAAACTTAACCCAACGCCAATTAAATTCCCCTTAAGATGCATTATCCTTTAAAAAATGATTATTAGTAATGTCAGAAAAAAAATAAAAAAATTTAGCAGTGCTAATTCGTTTAGGACAGTCTTTTTATGTTTTATCTTTGGAACAGTCTCTTTTATGATATAGCACATATTTGGATTATAAGTTTGTTAGATTAAGGTCATACAATTGACATACAATAGCAAATTATTGTTCACATTGACTGGTTGATTGTATAATGAAACAAGCTAGAGGAAAAAACATTTCTTTTCTAAGTGTTAAAAGAGTTATATAGTAACCGATCCAGTACAAATCCTGCGATTTTTGTTGGTGAAAAAGCGCCCCCCCCCCTTCCCCACCATCTTGGACAAAAATGGTAGAGCGGATTTTAAACGTCACTAACTCTTGTTTTTTATGTTACACAATCGTAAAAATACGCTTTAGTTCCATGGGTTCTTTTCTGAGTGATAAGGGTTATTTATTACTTAATTTTTCCGATTTTAGTCTTCGAAAAAGCGCCCCCCCCCCCCCTTCCATCTAGGAAATCTGGAAAGCAGTTTTTCCGGTCTCTGTTTCTTAAGGATATACCTTTTACAGTTACACAATCAAGGTAGAAAAAGTCAAATCAGTATGCAAACGCTCTCAGCCGTTAAATTTCTTTACTTTGACTGTTTATAATTCAAAACTGCATCTTAAAATTAGCTTGTAAATTTTTTTTCTACCCCTTTTGGCGCCCCCTTAGGGTCGGCGCCCGGGGCGGCCGCCCTCCCCGCCCTCCCCTAGCTACGCCTCTGACAAGAGGGTGGATTTTAATCATAGTCAAATACTGATATAAACGTTTTAATATTTGGGCACAGTTGCTGAATATATCATTTATCTCGATTTAAAATTGTTATGGATAACATAAGGAAATTGCGCTTAAATTGTCACTAGACTTTTTATTAACTTGTTTATAGGTGTCAAGGGTTCTTTCTTCTCTCCAACTCTTATTTGTTTGTATCTATCTATATATATAATTCTCTTCTGGGATCAGTTAGAAAACAAGCTGCAAGCGCGCCTTTGCAGTCCCCTCTCTTCCTCTCTATCGCTATCATACCACCCCCACCCCACCCCCACATGATCTGGTGAGCGGTGTTCACTCTGTTTACATTTTACAATCATAGAGACGGGTTTGGTGACGGCTATTAGGGGCAGATAATTTAGTTTGAAACGATTTTAAACTTAGAGGAGGTAACTAAGAGGAGGCTGCTTTCACGTGGGGGGGGGGGGGTAGTGTTTTTAAGCAAATATTTTCAATGGCAGGATTGGTACTGTCGAATTCACAAATTATAAATTACTGACAAGTAGAAAAAAAAACAACTAAATAGCGGCGTATGATACGCAGCGGGTCGGCTCGTATATATAATTCTCTTCTGGGAGCCGTTTGAAAACAAGCTGCAAACGCGCCTTGCAATCCCCTCTCTTCCTCACTAGGCATAAATCAACCTCCCCCACCCCCGCATGGTCTGATGAGCTGTAGTTCACTCTAAATGTTTACATTTTACAATCGTAGAGCTGGGTTTAGTGACGGCCATTAGGGGCAGATAATTTAGTTTGAAACGATTTTAAACTTACAGGAGGTAACTAAGAGGAGGCTGCTTTCACGGTGGGGGGGGGGGGGTTAGTGTTTTAAAGCAAATATTTTCAGTGGCAGCATTGGTACTGTCGAATTCACAAATTATGAATTACTGAAAAGTAGAAAATAAAACAACTAAATAGCAGCGCATGATACGCCGCGGGTCGGCTCGTATATTTTAATACAACAACAGGGCTCGTACAAAGTCTGGAAAAATTCTGGGGGTAAGGCAGCCCTAAAAGTTATTTTCTTTTGCATTGAGTAAAGTGAATACACATTAACTCAATTACTGATAATAATTTCTTTATACTGTGATAAAATGAGAGATCAGATGTGGCAGAAATTAACAATAGTCAATACAACATTACTATCTGTATTAAGTCTAAAACTTTTTCAAAATAGTCTGGAATGTCAGTGTCAAAAAACAATACAAAATGTAAAAAAAAAACAAATATTAATGCTACTGCAATATTATCACACCAGACTTATTTCTCTGGATCCAGGTATAACAGCTTGAAAGCAACCGCTTCTACAAACTATTTATTCATCACATGAAAAACAAAACTTCCTTCTTATTTTTACATTCTTGAGTTCTATGTCACAACAAGTAATTATCATTAAACACATGCTATCCAACTCACCACCGCTTTTATCTTAAAATACTAGCTACCCCTTCTACAATTTTAACCAACTGTCTTTGCCATTATTTTTCTAATGCACTATTAGTCCAATAACATGTCATTAACTTAGCCATTGTTTCTCTTGCATTAGAGCATTTTTCTTTAATGTAGCTATAATAAAAAATCTGTATAGAGAATATCAAGTATTTGCAATGTATTTAAGTTGAAGTAGTGAACACAATTCAAAAATATACCAAAGTGTAGCAATTAATACATTTTTTTTATTGATATTAGAATTTCATGGGAAACAGAGAACAAACGTGACAGACAAAAGTCTGGGGTAAAGCAAGAAATCTCTGGACCAGCACTTAAGGCCGTATTTTCCTAGGCGCCTTATGAGGCACTAGAGGCAACAACGCTGGCACCAACACGACCACATTCCCTCGCACGGTTTGACTTTGGCCAGCCTTACGCTTTCTCCACCAATACGCTGAAAATAGAAGTGTGAGAACAACTAAATAACGTTTCTAGTGGACAAACACATTTTGATTTTTTTTTAGTTTAATCAGTGCACACACACACAAAATTAAAAACATTAATAACTTACCTGCAACAAGAATAACGACAATAGCTGTGAGAATGGACACACCCATGGTCAAAGCATAGCTCCTGCGTGTAGAATACAGATACATGTCAATAAGTTAGCCACTAGATAATATATGCAGTGTTGTTAGGGGTAGGTCGTCCCCCCTGGACTCCCAAAGGAAAAGTTCTCTCCCGTTTAGTTACAGTTGTTATAGTCGATGATGTATTCTTCTCACTTTACGTTTATATATATATATATATATATATATATATATATATATATATATATATATATATATATATATATATATATATATATATATATATATATATATATATATATATATATATAAGCTCCATCTCCCGTGACAAAATTCTAAGATACTGGATTTAGGCTATATAAACAAAGATAGACAGATAGACAAACTGATTGATAGTTAACTTAATATATTTGGTAAGATGGAGGGTGGCCAGTGAACAAGAGACAGGGTATTCATATTTAGTTTGACAAGAAGTGCATTCACATTTAATAATAAAACTTACTCTGTGCAGCATACGTCCTTCCATTTTCCACAGCAACCTTTGGGGCACTCAATATAATCTAAGCTGGAGAGATGCAGAGGCTTAATGTAATTTTTGTGGGACGGATGCTTGGATAAATACTTGGTCCAGTTCACACAGCGCTCACCCGTGGCGCCTGTTGACATTGAACACTTTTCATGAGTGGCATATGACTAAATCAATCCTCGTATGTATGCCTAAGTACATAAGTTTTCATGACTAAATCGATGCTTACATACAAAAAAGAGTGCTCTCACTTTCGTGTAGATTTTTTACCACAAATTTTGGTACCCCACCTCCTAGATACAAGATATTATTTTTTTTTACAATTATGTAATCCTAACTTACTTTTGACATTGAAATACAAAATTAGAAGAAGAAGCAATTTGCCTAATTGGCTTTTCCTCTTGTCACTTTTTCCTTTCCTGCACCCGTTCAGACACTCATTGCGATTGGAAGCTATTTTCGTCATAGTCACGTGATCAGGTACATCATCGACATCTACTTCTGACAACTCCTCCGCCGCGTCTTCTGTCCACAGCTGCACCTCGTCGATGACCAGCTCGGCATCGTCCTGAGGGCTCAATGTCACGGCCTTGACCTCCGCACACCGCGGCCGGTGCCAGAACTCCATCTGTCCACGGGGTGAGGGCTTCTTGTGGTTTAGGGCCAGCTCCTCCAGTAATCTAGCGGAGAGCTCTTAGGAAAGGTAAGCAGACAAAACGACAAATCTCTCGGTCTCTAACCTGAACCGTTTTTCCTGCAAATATGCATCTGTGTCAAAACTAAGAAATAGTGCACACAATGTTAAACAAAGACATTTTGCCTCATATAACGTTTTATAACATTCCTATTGACCACCACTCCCATTATGGTATAACATTCCCATACACCATACTCCCATTATGATAAAACATTCCCATACACCACCACTCCCATTATGGTATAACATTCCCATACACCACCACTCCCATTATGGTATAACATTCCCATAAACCGCCACTCCCATTATGGTATAACTTTCCCATACACCACCACTCCCATTATGGTATAACATTCCCATACACCATACTCCCATTATAGTATAACATTCCCATACACCATACTCTCATTATGGTATAACATTCCCATAAACCGCCACTCCCATTATGGTATAACATTCCCATACACCATACTCCCATTATTATATAACATTCCCATACACCACCACTCCCATTATGGTATAACATTCCCATAAACCGCCACTCCCATTATGGTATAACATTCCCATACACCACCACTCCCATTATGGTATAACATTCCCATAAACCGCCACTCCCATTATGGTATAACATTCCCATACACCGCCACTCCCATTATGGTATAACATTCCCATAAACCGCCACTCCCATTATGGTATAACATTCCCATAAACCGCCCCTCCCATTATGGTATAACATTCCCATAAACCGCCACTCCCATTATGGTATAACATTCCCATAAACCGCCACTCCCATTATGGTATAGCATTCCCATAAACCGCCACTCCCATTATAATATAACCTTCTATGAGCTATTCCCTCACAGCCCACACACTGCGATACTCTTGGCCACTGTAAGAAATGCGCGGGAATAATATAAGGGAAAATTGCGTTTTAAACCAGAGCTAAATTGCAAATCTTTATGGCTTATGGTATATTAATTTCAATAAGGGGTCGTCCATAAATGACGTCACACTCGTAGGGGGGAGGGGGGTCCGTAATTTTGTGACGGTGTGTGGTGTGGGGGAGGTCGGGGGGGGGGGGGGTTCAGATGATGCCACGTCACACTTTTGCATTATAAAAAAAGCAATGTTAGAAAATGAATTTTAGACGTTATTTCGCGTATTAGAAAACTGTTTAAAAAATTGCAATAGAAATTGATTTAAATACTCTATTTTGACAGAGTTCAGACAAGATTTTGGAAAAATATCGATGTTTTAAGAAAAATTCAACTGCAAATTAGAGGGGGGTTGTAGGCTGAGGTGTGACGTTATTTTAAGGGGGTCTGGCTTTTTGTGAGGATGTGCGACGGAGGGGAAGGGGGGGGGGGGGGTAAAATCGTCTAAAAAAGCAGACGTCATTTATGGATGACCCCTAAGTGATTATCAATAAGGGATGAGTAAGCTCCAACAAATATAAATGGCAGAAAATTCGCACACACCGGTTTTCCATTTTAAATTGTAGAATGTTTCCCGTTCTTTCGATTTTAAAGGCTTTTCTACATTGTTACATAAACGCATCATTATTGACCTACCTTATTAGATCTAGAATCTTGATCCGTGTTGGTCGCGCTTGAAATATTTACATAGATCTAGAATCAACTCTATTATTTTAAGCTAAAAAAAAGCAAGGTAGTTTTATTATTTTTATTTTCAGTGCGTTTGTCCTGGTTTTCAAACAAGATTACATCATGTAAAATACAGCAATTCGTGCATAATCTAGTATTTTATTATTTTATATTAATAGATTAATAATATATTATAAAAATAACATTAAAAATAACATAATAATATTATTAACATTTAGATCTACTTGCGTTTGTGCTAAAGTGATTCAGCTGCACCAGTAATAGATTGTGCGTAGTGCGGTTCAGGGATGGGAAATCCAAAAAGTTTATGACCGTGCAAAAAAAAAAAAAAGTGACGGGTCAATTTACAAATTACAATATACAATAACTGAAACGGTACTGAAGTTATCGTGTTTACAGACACACAGACATACAGACAAAATCAGTGTTTCTTCCAGACTTTTTTCTCCGGGGGAGCACTTGATATTTGGGAGTGGGGGGGGGGGGGGCGGACACTAGCAAAAGTGTATGTTTACTATATAAAATCCATCTCGTTCGGGGGGCGGTAGACCTTCTTTGAAGAGATCCCCCCACCCCCCGTAAGATATGCCTGGAAGAAACTCTGGACAAAATTGCAAAACTAAGCTTTTTATACGACTCAGGGAAGTGTAAAATGTCAATTGTGAAAATCTCGATTTCAATTTTTTGCACTATTACAATACTTCCTCTATAATTCGTATACTAGAAAGTAAAAATACAGATCTAGAAAAATGGGTCGGCGGAAAATATAAAAAAAAAAATTGTCCTTGGACAATTTTCCTAACCAGGAAACCTAACATTTTCTGCTTTTTTTCCTAACCAGGAAAAAGCGGATTTTCCGTTAGAAAAAAAAGCAGAAAATGTACGTTTTATTTAGAAAGCATACATTCCTTAAGGTATAGATCCTTACTCTAGATCTATTCTTGATCTAGATCTAGATCTATATAGAATCTAAATCATGACAATGTAAATTTAAAAAAAAAACAGTCCTGACAATTCAATTTTTTTTTTTGGAATAGTTATTAGTATTAGATCTATAGAATCTATTTGTAAGCATGCCAACTTGAGTTTAGATCTATATCTAAAAGAAGTCCTCGTAGAATTGATTTCAGTGTTTGTTTATTTCCGCTGAAGCTGGGTTTAATAATATCTGTCTTTTATTCAGCCGCAACAACGAGTCTAAATCCTAGAGATTCTAAAGAATAGCTTAACTTTAAGGTAAACCTGATCATTTTTATTCAGTCTTGATCGCTTAGTTGTAAAATAAATGTAAAGAATACGTTTTAAGGAATCCGATTTCGATTGTGAATCATAAATCCGATTAAATTCCCTCAATTCATTGATTGCGCAATGCAGATCATGGGACGAGTGACAAAATAGTGACATAGTCATAGACATGGGACAAGATAAAATCATATGTCATATTTCATAATTTGTCATATTTGTTGTAATTTGTGTTATGTACTGACTATTGACTGACTATCAAAGTATGTAAGCCTGCGTAGATCTAGGTCTACAAAGATCTAGATCTACTACTAGATCTAGTTTTAGTCGATCATTTCTGCTCTAAAGTCTAAGTTTAGTAAAGTTTAGACTAAACTAAACTTTAGTTAAGTATAGTTATTATTAGATTCTAGTCATATTAGAATGAACAATTTAGGTAGACTATGGCGCTAGTCTAGTCTAGGGCACTCTAGGGTAATTTATCATTTTAGCTTACTTTACAATACAAGCCTAGATCTAGATCTAGCAAGTCATTAGTATAGAATTAAATAGGCCTATATTAATATATTATAATATTACTATGCCGGACAATAGGGTCTTGGTAAGATGCGAGATGTGAAATAGTGAGACGCTAAAAAAACTAAAATGTTTGAAGGCTTGTCAAGTGATATTTTTTGCCTCGTTTTTATTGTACCCCCAACTACTTTGCTACCCCAGTCACACCTCTACAACGGACAGTTCTCTTTACTTGTGCTTGTGTGAGCCCAGCAGCCCTTGCCTCATCCTACGGTCTTCTTACAGGATTTCCTTTTCCCCTGCGGGCCCCTGAGGAGTCCAGTTAAATGCTTTCCTCATTTGTCTGTTAGCTGTTGGGTGTGGGGAAATTGCGAGACGCGAAAAGCGAAATGGCGAGGCGGGAAAATGCGAGACATACCTGCGGAATTAAGGGTAAATAGCGAGACACTTTTTGCGAAAAAAGTTTTTTCCATTTTTTGTCCATCTTTATTTATTTAAATTATTTTTTGTTTGTTTTAAAATAAACAAGCATTTAGCCATACCCTTTAACACGAGTGTTGTATGTTGCTATTTTTTTATCTAGATACTAAGAAGATAGATAGATCTATATCTAGATCTATCTGTTTAAAAATCCTAACATCGTTGCTGTGCTACTGTCATCGCCCGCTCTTGTTAGCGAGAGGAAAATCCCGTCTCAGTCTGCATTAATTTAAAAATCTAGCCCGCTCATGTTTATACAAACGTGAGCTGTGTCATTGTGAATTGGTATAATCTTGTCAGCAGGAGAGATATTTTGCAACATCTATTTATGGATTTTTGTACTTGCAAAAAGTGTAAAAGTATAAACAATTCTAAAAAGTGCAATTTATTTTTTTATTAAGTAATTTTAATTACAAACAAAATTTACAAACAAAATCTTCTGAAACAGTCCTCAAACACACATCGTGACACCATCTTTCACACATAGTACACCCAACCCAGTTCATTAGACTCCCATTAATACATTTTTCTTTTGCTACTTCTTCCAATCCACATTCACAACATTTCACATTCTCATCACAGTTGACCTCCTCGTTCATCCCACAAACAACACTGGCGCCCATGTTCTCATCATCATCATCCGCACGCTCAACATCTGTTTTCCGTTTTTTATAATTTGTATTTTTTATCATTTCTGTAATTTTGGCAATGTCTTGCTCATTGTTGTTACCAGCAGTTGAGTTTTTTTAAAACATCGATATTTTCCCAAAATCTTGTCTAATTTTGGTCAAAATAGAGTATTTTAATCAATTCCTATTACAATGTATTAAAACAGTTTTTTAAAACGCGAAAAAACGTATAAAATTCTTTTTCTAACATTGCTTTTTTATAGTGTGACTTTACATCTAACCCCCCCCCCCCCTCCTCCCCCTCATCACACGTCATAAAATTACAGACCCTCCCCCCCCCCTACGAGTGTGACGTCATTTATGGAAGACCCCAAAGAACACCACCACCAAAACCAAAAAATTCAGATAAGTTCAACTTGGTTTTAAAAATATTTGAAGTAGGCCCATAGCTTACGACATAGCACGAGCAACTGATAATATCGGTGACGTCACTTTATTTTGTTGTATCCAAATGATGTAGGCATTTCCTTGTGCTTAGATTTATATGGTAAAGAAAGCTAGAAAAAAATCGTAGGCTATAATGACAAATCATCAGTATGTCTAGCGACGTAAGTTTTAACAATGTAAACGAAACGTCTTTGAAGTCTGGACCAAATACCACTGAAAATCGGGTGCGGTAAATTTTCCGCAGAAATCTTCGCATTTCAACACCACCCAGCGTAAGTATCGGCTTGTGGTAAAATGCGAGACAAAAAAGTCACGTGACCGACCGTTTTCGCGCCCTTCTCGCATTTTCCCGCCTCGCCATTTCGCTTTTCGCGTCTCGCAATTTCCCCGCACCCTTAGCTGTTAGTGTTGCCACAGATCTTTATTGGATATTTAATCTAGAGGATCTGTCATAAATCTGTTTGTGGACGGCTGCGTTTTTGTTTTTGTAACCCTCTAAGTCTCAGAACTATAAAGCCATACTTCTTTAACCATTGTGTTGAAATGTAAAGATGCTTATCTTATCATGCAATTTCATATCGGTTGTAGTGAGTTGAAGGCACATCTGGCCTTATTGATACAGCTTTTTAGTGAAAATTTTACAAACATGGCTATTTCTTCTTCTTTGTTCTTAATTTTTAGTGTTGGAAGGGATCAAGCCTTATCTGCCAGAGGGTTTGGACTCAAGACTTTTTCAAATTTAAACAACCATGAGCTTTACCAACTTGCCTCCAACACAATTAAGTATACGTGTCAACTGGTTATGCACCATTGGGTCATTGACTCAGATTTCAGCCTGCTTATCTTTTTGGATTTGCTTCCATAGCCTTTGTCCGACCAAGAACAAACTACAAAGCAGCAGTTGTTTGATTTTGGAGTTGTCTCTCCTAGAAGAGTGGCTGTCCCCATGACCTTTATTGACTCGACCATGCTGACCCCTAACATGGCTATGATTTGCTTAAACTTTGTGATGCAGACTTTGATTTCCAAACACTTAGTTTGTATTATTAGGCCTATAATGTAGCCGCTCGCTGCAAATGTACTACAAGTTAAATTATTGTGTCGATGATTTAACAACTTCTTTCTATTATGTTGGCTTTGAATACCACCTAGATCAAATTCTAGTTTAGAAGAGCCCAAAATACCACATTTAAAATTTGTTACTAGATGTAAATCAAAACAACTGCTGCCTTGTAGATTGTTTTGGGTGAATAAAGGCTATTAGAAAGAAATCCAGAAAGAAAAGCAGACTGAAATAGGAGTCAACAGGCCATAGGGCTCATAACATGTTTACATGTAAATACTTAATTGTGTCGGAAGAAATCCCTTCCAAGATTAAAATTAAGAAAGAAGAAGAAGAAAGAATATTTTGAAGGCTATTTAACCATTTAACATGATTGTTATTAACAATTTAAAAACTTTTTTGCTTGTAAAATTTTTAATAAGAGAGATAGTTTTAGTTTTATCTGTCAGCAAAATCAGTTCAGTTAAGAAAACTAGATGTGAAAATAGCTTTTTGGATCAAGCAAGTTTTTTTTTAAAACAGTCTTTTTTGCACATGTCAAGTCCTACATCTGATTTGTTTATTTTTAAAACTGATTTTTGACATTTTACTTATATAATTGTTTCATTTGCCTTCTTATCCATTAGGAAATAGATTAGTTGACACACAGACCTAGCATGGCCTACCCACTGTATCCAAGTTCTGTGCCAAGAACTGCTGATGAATTTCTCTCAAAAGTGGAACTCTTCATTGAATGCAAGAACCTGCTAAACCGTGATGTCATGTCTAAATCTGACCCCTGTGCTGTTTTGTACATGTCCAGGAAAGGTGGTCAGATGGATGAGGTGATGGGTTGTTGTGGTGAATTAAATGTTAAACTAGTTATATTTTGTGAAGCTCTTCAATTATTACAATAGCTCTCTCTCCCTCTCGTAAATAGCCATTACTGGATTTTAAGGGTTAGCAACTTCACCCCTCTCATTTAACCCTCCACCAGGCTTGTTTAAAGTAAAAGGGTTTTATTTTTCTATATTACCTCACATTCTAGATTGGGAGAACAGAAAATGTCAAAAACTGTTTGGACCCCAGATTTTCAACATCCATCAAAGTGAATTATTATTTTGAAGAAGTGCAAAAGATAAAAATTGCCATCTATGATGTGGACAACAAAACTTACACCCTCTCTGATGATGATTTTCTGGGCCAGGTAGAATGCACTTTAGGGCAGGTAAGATTTTGGGTATTTTTATTGCTATTGTACATAGATAGGAAGGTAGCTAGGTAATTATAAAAAAAATTGATGAAATAAATTCCCTCATTCAGCATTTTTGTAAATTTTAGAAAATTTATTCTGACATTTGATAGATTGTAGATGATCTATAGTGTAGTATACATTATGATTTGTCCTTTATTCCTACCAGCTTGTGTCTAATAGCCCATACATGAAGCCTCTGTTGTTGAAAGATGGTGCAAAAGCTGGAATGGGAATGATCACTGTAAGAATTAGTAGTTACATGTCTCTTGTTATATTAGCTGCTATGTTTGCAGTGGTCTAAATTTTGAAAAATGTATACAGTAAAATGAAAAGTAATGTTCCCTTTTCAAACCCACTAATCCCTAGGACAGATGAGGTAGCATTCATATGTTGCTTGACCTCTGCATATAAAGGGATGGTGTGGTCAGTACTATGTCTAGTTGCTTTATTTACTTTCCTAAATGTGAGTAAGGTACCTATCAGAGTCTGACAGAATCAAACACAAAACTTTCATGTTAGCAGTTTTATTATTTAACTAAGAATAGCAAACGTAACTTAAATATAACAAGATCTTACACATCTAGTTATTTTAAATTACTTTTTTTATTACCAAGTAACCAGTGTTTTCTTAGCTTGTGCTTTAAAGTGCATTAATTACATTGTCACGACTAAGTAAACAAAAGTTTCCTACCAGGTGAGAGCAGATGAGGTTAAGGAAGGGGGAGAGGTGGCACAGATTATGTTTAAGGCAAAGAAGCTGGACAACAAGGTCAGTATTTTTTTTATAGGTGTCAAGGGTTCTTTCTTCTCTTTCACTCTGTGTACATTTTAATACTACAACATGGCTCATACAAAGTCTGGAAACATTCTGGGGGTAAGGCAGCCCTAGAAAAGTTATTTTATGATTTTTGCATTGAGTAAGGTGAATACAAACATTAGCTCAATTACTGACAATAAATTTCTTTATACTGTGATAAAATGAGAGATCAGATGTGGCATAAATTTACAATAGTCAATACAACATTATTATCTGTATTAAATTAAGTCTAAAAAAATTTCCAAAGTAGTCTGGAATCTCATTGTCAAAAAACAATACAAACTTGGTAAAAACAAATATAAATGCTGCTGCAATATTATCACACCAGACTTATTTCTCTGGATCCAGATAAAACAGCTTGAAAGCAACCGCTTCTACAAAATATTTATTCTGCACATTAAAAACACAACTTCCTTCTTATTTTTACATTCTTATGTTCTATGTCACAGCAAGCAATTATCATTAAACACATGCTATCCAACTCACCACCACTTTTATCTTAAAATACTAGCTACCCCTTCTACAATTTTAACCAACTGTCTTTGTCATTATTTTTCTAATGCACTATTAGTCCAATAACATGTCATTAATTAACTTAGCCATTGTTTCTCTTGCATTAGAGTATTCTTCTTTTTTTTTTGTTTAGCTATAATAAAACCTGTATAGAGAATACCAAGTATTTGCAATTTATTGTAAGTTGAAATAGTGAACACAATTCAAAAATATACCAATCTGTAGCAATTAATAAATTTTTTATTGATATTAGGATTTCATGGGAAAGTCGGATCCATACTTAGAAATTCAGAAACCAACTGTTGATGGTGGCTGGCAGGTTATTCATCGCACTGAGGTATTTTCACAAAACTCTTTTTTAAAACACTTCTTAAGAAACTGTGAACCCTAAATTAATCTCACTTTTAAAAAACTCACATGCGGTTCATTTTTAATGCTAATTTGTTAATGTTTTATTGTGTTCAATTTTTAAACACATAAACATTAAAATGAAAACCGACCAGGTGGTGAAGAATAACCTCAACCCTTCATGGCGACCAATCAGCATACCTGTTCACAGCCTGTGTGGGGGCAACAAGCAGCAGCAGATCAAGGTAAATTCAATTTTTTAAATTACATTTCTTTTCTGATGATTGATATTTGCTTTAACGTGAGCTGTGATCTGTGGTAAAACTGTTTCACTAAAAATATAGAATTGAATGATTGGTAATTGTAAGAAATTTATTTGGACTATGAGATAGCATTTGTTGTTGTCTGGGAAAACTCAAAGATTAATTAAAGAGAATAAGTCATGTGTCTTTATTTGTTGTTCGAGCACTATAAATAAAAAATAGTTTGATCCTATATTTTGAATTCATTTAATTAGATTGATTGTTATGACTGGGACAGTGATGGGTCCAATGACTACATAGGTGGCTTTACAACTACACTGGAAGAAATGATGAAATCTTCTGCTGGGGAGGTAAAAAAAAAATTTGTTTCATTTTGCAAAATAATATTAAACGCAAAACTAATAAAGCAGGTAAATTAATGGGTTTTTTTTTTTTTGTTGCTGTTCTTTTAGATTTCGTTCCCTTGCATCAATCCGAGCAAAAAAGCCAAGAAGAAATCTTACACCAACTCAGGTGTCATTTTTGTTACATCTTGTCAGGTAGGTTTTGTTTTATTACTTCAAATTGTGTTTTCTAAAATTATAAATAATTAGTTTAAATAATTAGTTTGATTCAAGTTGTTTATAAATGCTTTTACTCAATATTGTAATTTGGTTTTATTGCAGATAGTGAAAGAGCATACATTTTTGGAATTTATTTTTGGTGGAATGCAAATAAACTTCACTGTAAGATTTTCAAATTATTGATTCTTAATTTCTTGAAATAAAGCTCGTAAAAAGTTTAAAATTGATTTGTTATGAAACCTATTTTTTAAATTAAATGTACCTTTGAGTTTTGCACAATTTATTTTTAATCCTTTAATCCTCTTCTACCTTTATAATTTGGAATTATATTATGTCTAAATATACTGTGGAGTAAAAAATATCTACATGTTATCCTTCTTGCTTTGTAATTTGTATCCTCTGATAAGCTATAGATTTTACTTTCCAGGTAGGAATTGACTTCACAGCTTCCAATGGCAATCCCTCACAGTCTACCTCTCTTCATTACATTAACCCTTATGCTCCAAATGAATACATGTCAGCAATAAGAGCAGTTGGTGATGTCTGCCAAGATTATGACACGTAAATACCTATTTTCATTTTGTTATTAACAATATAATTTTTTCTAAATATTTTTTTATAATCTAGTAATTTTGTGTAGCAATTAAAAAAGTATTTTAGTTAATTTGGGAGCTCTAAAATGAAATAATCACCATAAAGACATTTTTTGTAAAAAAGAAAATTACACTTAAATATTATCTTTTTTTTTTGTGTTAATGATCAGCTTAAAAAATTGATCAATTTTGCTTGGCTAATAATAAAAAATAAGTGAATGGATAACAAAAAAGGGTACTTGTAAGATTTAAACATTTATTAGTTAAATCATGTCTTATTACTGTTCTACTGTTCCTCAGAGACAAACTTTTCCCTGCCCTGGGATTTGGGGCCATTATTCCACCAGCTACACAAGTTTCACATGAATTTGCTATAAACTTCAATGCCCAGAATCCTTTCTGTGCTGGTCAGTTGGATTTTTTTTTCAACAAAATTCCTTTCATTTTAATTCCATTCTCTGAATATTTAATAACGTTAAGCCGTTCTAGAATCATGAAATAAATTTTTTGTTGAAGGAATTGATGGTGTACTGGCTGCCTACACCAACTGTATCCAGTATGTTCAGCTCTATGGTCCAACCATTGTCTCACCAATCATCAACCATGTTGCCAAATTTGCCAGCGCAGCCCAGATGGAGGAACACAACAAGGGGGCCCATGTGAGTCACAGTTCTTCTAAAATAGTCATGTTGAAGGACTAAAAGGGAAAATCAGCCAGAATGTATTGTAGATGGCTAGCTATTCATAGGTTAGGTTAGCCCTTAAGCATAGCAGGACATTGGCCACAAACAAAAGCTTTCCAGACTTGTTTAGTCTGAGCAAGACCTGATTAAAATTATGGTAGACTTTTTACAATTTTGTAAAGGAATTCATTGATTCTCTGTCTGGAAATCCATCCTCTCAGAATTATCCCTCTTTGTGTAAAGCAAGATTTTTACAAGGAGTTACCGGTCCTTTACCAAACCTACTTTTCTCAGTCTGGCTTGGAGATTACTGTAAAGTTAAAATATTAGGTTGTGGTTTTTTATTCTGGGTAATACAGTTTCAAAGGGACGGAGTGGTCTAGCTGTAGAGAGCTAACCCGTAAGTCTTGAGTTCGAATCCGGGTTCAAGTCAGTAGACCGTCCCTGAGTCCACCCAACTCTGATGAGTACCAAACTCACGTTAGGGAAAGTAAAGGCGGCTGGGCATAGTGCTGACCACACTATCTCTTCATATGCCGAGGTCACATAAACAAGTGAACTCTTCTTCACTTGCCCTATAGACCGTCAGGTTTGAAAGGGAACTTAACTTTTTTTTAAATACAGTTTTAATAACTGACATTGATCCTGTTTTTTGTTCAAAGGCCTATTATGTACTGCTCCTTCTGACTGACGGTGTGCTGAGTGACATGGGTGACACAAGGAATGCCATTGTACAGGCCAGCAAACTGCCAATGTCTCTCATCGTTGTTGGTGTAGGTGCTGCAGATTTCACTGACATGAATGAGCTGGATGGGGACAACGGTGTCCTGAAGTCTCCCTCGGGGGAACCTGCCAAAAGGGACATTGTTCAGTTTGTGCCTTTCAGAGAGTTTAAACAGGTCAGTGGGGTTATCTTGATATCCTGCCAATTTATAGCTGTGCATATTTTTAAACATATTTTTTTAAAATAAAATCTAAGATCATGTTAAATGTTTTGTGTTTCTCAGTACATATTTAATTAAACATTTTTCTTCATCCCAGAGTACTCCAGCTGAACTGGCACGCCATGTGCTGGCAGAGGTACCTAAGCAAGTAACTGCCTACTACAAGATGCGAGGACTCAAACCCAACCAACCCCGCCAGACACCTGTCATACCACCGGTTACACAATAAGTATTCAAGTACGGTATTTTCTGGCATACTCCCCCTAAAACTTTTCCCATTAAAATATTGTATTTGGGATATACTTGCCCTATAATACCTGGCACATAGATGCTTTCCTTCCCCCAACTTTTGAAAAGAATTTCTTGTATTAAAATTCATTGTATATGCCAGAAAATACAGAAAATAATTGCACCAAAAAAATTGTGGTACCACATTTTCAGTATAAGCTAGTTTAAGAAAGTTGTGTTAGAGCTGTCTAATTTTTGTGTGTCTAAAACTCATGTGATAATGTTACCTGTTGTATATACATTTGATTATTAGACCGTGAATATTTGTCTTTAACTTGTGACCAATAGATATTATCCATTTCCATCAACTTAATTTTTTTTTGCACATAAACATTATTTCCTTTCTATCTTTCTCTTACTAGAAATCACTTTCTAGTTTATTAGCAATAGTTGTTCTCTTAAGAAAGGTTTTTATACAAAGCAAGTTTAACAATTCTAGAACACACTGTATGCAATTTTGATTTGTAATTGTGATAAATTTTTTATGGTGAAAATATTTTAATTGATGTGTTACAGACAATGACTGGTTTTTTTTAAAATAAATTTTGTGATTTCCTTTAATTATTAACTTAATTGAACTTAATTATAATAAATCTCTGTGGTAATCAGTTTTTTTTACATAACTGAATGATTTTTATAAATAAATATCTTTAGCATGAAAGATTTTAAGTTTGATTTCTTTGAATTTTACATTAGATATTCATTTTTCAAGCTGACAGTCCTTATTTATTAATCAAAACATGATAATATTATACACATACACACCAATTCTGTTAGCCACTTTAGAAAAAGAAATATGCAATACAAACAACTATAGTCAGCAAATTAAATTTATTTCCTAAAGGAGTTTGTTTAGGAACAGTTATATACAGTAAAATTCTCTTCAACTGATGGGAGGCACACATGTTAACATTAATTGTTTTATTACACTTTAAACAATGTATCACCATTAGTTGTACTGTAATATAGATTTTTTTGTAATGTTTTGTTGTTATATTACGTTGTCAAAAAAACTTATTGTACTTCAGTTATCTGCTGTTGTAGAGGGTTGCTTGGGGAATAGATTAACCATCATTTTTGTGCTACATCAAGTGTAAGGTGCTGTCACCTTCATTTATTGCTTTAGTCCTCATTTATATTTTGTTGCTATTTATTATTTTATTATCTGTATTGATTATTTTGATACAAGTAGCTTTTTTATTTTTGTAAACATATATTTGATTTTAGCTGTAAATTTTTGTTTTTGATTGTCTTACATAATTTTTGTTTATCTGAAATTGTTGTGACCAACCAGTTCAGACCAGTTAAAGTTTTACTTAACATTTCTTGCTCAGGTGTACAATGTTTAAAAGGCTCAATGTAATCAATTAATTTAAAATGTGAGCATTGGTTTATGAATTTTATGTAAGGCAGTTTTCCTAAACTTGTTAGTGACATTTTCAGATACAGTTTTATTTTTAATTATAAATAAACTATAACTTCCAGGTGTAGTTTATTGGCTTTAATTTAATAAAATACTTATCTTCATGTAGTATTTAGCTCTTGCTCGTACTTATTTATTATAAACCAGTTTTTGAGAACTTTTTAAGTTTTTCGATTTTTCTAAAACTGGTTTAGCCCAAATCACTTCCTAAGTTATATTGAATTTTCTCTTTGCATTTTTGTCACTAACAGGTTTGGGAAAACAACTCTTCAGTTGTTTTTTTTACAGTTGTGATTTCTAACTTTTGAAAAATAAGTCACTTTACATTCCTTTAATTACTCATGTAGTAGTTTCTTTACCATTTCAGCTGATGCATTGTTGGTATATACCACGGGCTAGTCAGTCAATTGACAATCTGTGACCTGACAATGTTGTTTTTTAATTTACTAAATATAATGCATATAACAAAAAATACATACTGTTTATTTGATACATTTTTTAAAGATGTTTTCTTCTACTAAACTAAGTCTCTGTAGTGGTAGTTATGTTTTATTTCCTCATTCATAACAGCTCTATTTTAGACCATCTCTTGCTGGATATTAGCAACAAAAAAAGTTTTTTCATATATTTTTTGATAGAATCTTTAAACCATTTTCTTATTCAATACTGTAGAGCATTTTGTTACTCTTAAACTTCTACTTAAAGAACTTACTAGTAAATCTACTTTTTTTAAGGTCAGTAGTTTATTTTTATCTTTCTTGTACCTTTGTATGTTGCTAGCTTTCATAATGTAATTTATTTTGCTTTTTAAAGAAATTGATTAGTAACTGAATGTACACATGTTTTTGGTGTTTTCATTCTGTTCATTAGTTCAACTTTTTAATATCACGACAAATTTAGATATTTTCTTTAAAAACCCTAGTAGTATAGAGGATCTGCTACATAATCACTTTGCCAACTTAATTTTGCAAACTATTTACAATTATTTGTATCTTTCGCAAATACAGCTGTCATGTTGAAATGTGTAACCTCTTGCCATTTTAGAGATTTTTCCATATATTTCTTATATATTTTTATACCTTTTGCTGTACTAAGTTTAAAAAAAAAATTTAAAAAACACAGAAACAAATACTGTCAAAGCAATCTACTAATGTAGTACTATAGTACTATTTTTGTAGATAAAATAATTATTTGCTTCAAACATAAGTATAATTATTGGTACCTTAGCCTGAATTTTAAAAATATATTAATTTAATTTAAAATGTCACATTTTTCTTTTTTTACAAAAAATAAATTTTAGTCCACTATCAAATAACATTTGCAAATTTATTGTTCATAAAACACCCTACAAAATATGCAATCTTTTAAAAAAGACAGTACTTTCATAAACCTGTCTAAGAATGTGGTCCCTTAATTCAGCTGCTATAAACACACTAAACCTGTAACATTGTGGATATGATTCAACTGCTATAACATTAACATGTTACCTTATACGTTGTTCTGTTGTTTCAAGGTATTATGTATCCAGTTTTTGCTAAATGGTCATGTGCTATATTCATATATATATATATAGATAGATAGTTAGGTATTTTTCTTAAAGTAGTATCTCTTTAATGCTGGTTACCTTTAAAGCATATTTTTTTTCATTTTCTCTTTTTATATATTACTCTTTAAAATGTTTCCAACATGTTTTACAAATAAATAAAATGCAATGTAATAAACCTGATGCATATTTCTCTGTTGTTGAAATCCAATCACCAGTAAAGTTCAGCACTTGAAATAATGGCTTCCAGCTGGTTTATTTGGTTCCACTAGCTAAAGGTGTTCAGCAAAAGCAACCATGGACCAGATTTATTTTTAATCTCAATTCTAGGTGGTTATCTCCCCTTCCAGATCTGCTCTCATATCAGTGTTACAGTTGAGCACTTTTTTATCATTCACCTCAAACTTGCTGTTTATCTTTTTCTATAAATATATTAACATTATTTATAGCTATTTTCATATACATTCATACAATGCTTTTTTGTCTATAGAGTAAATAAATATTGATTTTAAATACGTTGTTAGTGTTTGTCTTATTATTAGTAGAATTTTTTAAAATGAAGTTAGAAAAAAAATACATTAAATCATCACCTGATTAGAACATTGGTACTATTTACAGTTAAAGTATTTAAAAGTTTTTCCATATAACATCATTTTCTATTGTCAAACTTTTTTTCATTTTACTATGGAAACATGTTGCCTTTGTTTCTGTTGTTTGGTATACACAACAAACACATTTTTTTAAAAATGAAATATTTATTTCTGAGTAGTCATAAAAAAAGATCATAATTTTATCTAAAGAAGTCATTTACAGAATATTATGTGATTTAAAGGAGCTACTCTTGAAGTTGATGATTTTCTTGAAATATCTACCGAATTCTTTTGTTGACTGTTTTTCTTTTTTCATCCCAGCTGAAAAAGTAATAGAATTTATTTGTTACATGACATAAAAAATCAGCTTTCTGTCATTTTTTTCCTGCTAGTAAACTTTGCTACACTTGTGAAACACTTACTCAAAAAGCTCTCTGGTTCTTTTCTCTTCTGCTTGCCTCTCCTTTTCAATCTGATTTTTAATCAAGAATATATCACTTTATTTTCCATTAATTTAAAGAAAGTTGTTAAAAAAATAGAAAAATAAATGTTTATTTTGTAAGGTTTATTGTTTTCTTCAAAGATGCCATTTGGAGCTTGAAATGAAACATTCAGAACTTATTTTATAAACTTTTAAAATGTATTTAAATAACTAATGCAAAAAAATATACATTTGAATAACTATTTATTGCTATGTTATTTAGTTAACTTTGAGATTAATAGTTAATGATTAAAAAAATAAAAACCTTTATAATAACAAGTTTTTTAATGCACTGAAAGTAAGAACATTTTTTTTAAATTATTTATAAAAGATTTGGTCGCTAAAATATGAAAGGGATCTCAAAGCTTGTTTTAGAGAAGTTTGTTTTATTTTTATTTCCAGTGCATTTTAAAGCTTATTATTATAAAGGTTCTATATTTGTTTTATTTTCCACTTTTTAGCTGTAGTACATGAGACTGCTAACCTGAAAGTCAAGAGAGGGTTCAAATTAGTAAAACGTCCCTGAGTCCACCCAGCTCTGATGGGTACTAACTCACGTTAGGGAGAGTAAAGGCGGCTGGGCATAGTGTAGACCACACTATCCCTTCATTAGCTAGGTTACAAAAACATGTGAACCCTACTTCACTTGCCCCATGGACCTTAGGTCCAAAAGAGAACTTTACTTATTACATATTCTATGACTAAAATATTTGCATTAAATCCTGAGCATTGGCTTATGATCAGTAGAATTCAGTTCTGTCCCTATTTGGTTATCTCCCCTTGGTTATTGATTATAAATTATAGTAATTTAAAAATACAATGACTCTAATTAGATTTAAAAAATTGATATTCATGCAATGTCTATGAATAAGAGGGTATTGGAAAGTTTGAACGAAATTGTTGCATTAATAGTGTGTCAAATTGGATCAGAAGAATTGCCACAAAAAGAAACTTATGTCCACAAAAACTTACAGCTAAACAGTTGGAAAAAATGTCCTCAAAATCTTTTTGTTTATTGCCAAGATAGACCTCCAAGTCTCTGCCACCAATAATAGTTGGTAATTTTCCAGCCCCCACATTTTTATTCTGGGAAAAAAAGAACAAAAGCATATACTTAAATAATAATATTAACTATTTAATTTTTCTGTACATTGGTATTTTAAAGAGGTATCCACCACTGCAATAATAGTTTGGTAAATGGAGGAAACTCAACAAACCTTTTGAAATTTTTTGAAGTTTCTTTCATCGCCTTTTGTTTTACTAGTAGGTGCTGGTTTATTTTTATACTTGACTGTATGAGCCAGCAACTCCACAACTTTGACTTCACACAAATTCTGAATGAGCTTCCCATCCTTGTCTCTCAACAGCTAAAATAATGTTAAAGACAATAATTAATTCTCATAAATATGCTGATTGGTTGATACAGTAAAGTATCAAGGTTTTGTCATCATTATATCAATTTTAGGGTCAATGTCAGTATTATGGTCAAGTTCACTATCATAATCAAGAGCTGGATTATGATCAAAGTAGCATTATTAGCAAAGAAAAAGTTTGTAAACTGTAATGGCATTTCTGCAAGTAACAAATAAAAGTGTTAAAAGATATAATTCACACTCTCTAGTTAACAAAGATAGAGGCTGATAAGGCAAACTGTCCAGAACACCCAAAAAAATCAACCTGATTTAAGGGTAAAAAATCTGATTAAAGACTATATGAAAACTTTCCTTAGTTGAATAAAAAATATTAAAAATATCTTTTACTAACAAACCTCTGTGTCAGGTTTTAAATCTCTATCATTGTTATTGGCGGACTCAGATTTTCTGGTGCAGACGTTCAACCAGCCAGACTCACTGATTGTAGAAGATTTTGCGTCTGCTTGTATGTTGCCATGGCAGCTGATACCTTGTGCACTGCTCATATCAGCATCTGTGAATGGCTGATCCAGTGCTTCAGCAAAACACTCCACTTTCTCATCAGCTTTTTCCATTACATTCTTTTGTATTGCACAGCTGTGTTTGCTGGGCAGATCAAAATCCTTGTCATCTGTTGACTGTTTACCAGCATGAGGTTGATCATCCTCATCATCTATTATAAAAATGTGTTTTGATGGAGTTTTTTTACTCTGAATTTCTGCACCATCAGAATCATCCATACCAACAGTTGACTTTTTACATGGCTGAGGTTCATCATCCTCATCGTCCAGAAAAATGGGTTTTCTTTTGGATGTTTTTTTCTTGGTCTGAATTTCATCATCGTCAGAATCATCCCAGTTGGACGTTTTGCATTTGCTGGTTTTCTTTGGTTGTTGACGACGGCCAAATATGTTACTCATCTCTCTCTGTGGTGATGGTTCTCTGCTGTGTACCAGTACAATGTTCTCTGTACAGCTGCTGCCAGGATCTGCAGCCTGCCCTGTTTGCTTGCTGGCTATGGAAGGTTCCCGATTGTCCGATGGATTATCATCTAGTTTGTTGTTAGTGGATGGCTCTGGCTCTTCATGTTTCACAGCTAGAGTGATATAACTATTCACAGTAGAGCTTGGTTTCTTCTGATTCTCCCCATATTGTGAAAAAGGGGAAGCCACAAGATTGGATCTTTTAGGAGCATTTTTAATGGATGGGCTGCATGTTGTAGGCACATCATCCATTCTTAACCTTTTTGCAGGAGATTCAGCTTCCTCTAGAAGTTGTTGGTTGCTTGTAGAAAAAGACCTGCAATATTGTTATTGAAAAATATTTAAAATAAGAATTATAGAGCAACAGAGGTGTTTTTCAACATTAATGAAAACTGCTATTAGAATATTATTGCAAGTTAAATTCATTCAAAGAAAAAAAATATTTGAAAACATGGCATAACAAAAAGGCAAACCTCTTTTCTGACTTTACTTCTGCAACAGATGTGTCCAGCTCAGTCATCTGACTCAAAGTTTGACTTGCCATACTGGACAACATATTGGGGGCTAAGTGGACAGAAATGTATACAACTTAACATCCTAGATTACAAATAGCAACGCTAATTTTGATTTGTCTGCTGTAAAAAAGGTCATAACTGGTTTATTATTGATTTAAATTCCATCAACAGCCTGCTAAATTCTTTTGAAATAATATGTAATATTCTTTGGTTGTATATCAAACAAAGACCTGTGGCAAATTTTAAAACAACAGCCAATAGAGAAAGATATCAAAGCCCGTAAATGGGGATGGATCGGACACACGTTAAGAAAAGAAAAAGAAAACATCGCAAAACATGCATTGGACTGGAATCCCCAGGGGAAAAGGAGGGTGGGCCGGCCAAGGAAAACATGGAAGAGAACGGTTGAGGAAGAGGCAAAAACAGCTGGGCTCTCATGGGCACAGATTAGAGGAGCAGCCCAAAACTGAGTCCGCTGGAGATGTGTGGTTGCAGCCCTTTGCTCCCCAGGGGCCACAAAGGAGTGATGATGATGATGATTCTTTAATTGTGAATGTGGTGCAAAAAAGTTATTTATTCAATAGAAAAGTATTTTAAAAATCATTTCCAAAGTGTTATTAACTTCACTGCTTGACTCAATATTGAGATTGTTACTAAATACTTTAATATTAAATATAAATATGAATTAGTAGTGGACTGGGGTGTTCAGGAGGATCTGGGAAAAATATAAACAGCGGCCATTTTTTACTGTAATTTTCTCAATTATCGCACCGTTCCTGCTGGCCCACAGGGATTCTTTTCCGTGTGACAGCAATGCAGTCCAGCACTTATGTTAATTCCAAATTTTCAACTTACTGATTGGTGACTTGGGGTTACAAAAATCAGCAGTATTACAGGTCAGTATTGCCCAGCCTATTTCAGGATCTGTGACCATCCGCAGCTGCTTTCTAAACGTAGTTAAACCAATGGGTTGGACATTATTACAATCTCAAAATGTATACATAGAAACATTATTATTTACTATCTGCCAAAGGAAATTAAAGTGTTTTCCGCTATAAAAACAGATATTGCGTGTAAAACTAAAACATCAGTGACTCACCTTTTCAGTGTATTGTACACCAGGCGCACAAACTTCTGGCATGCTGGACTAAGAGTGACTAACACATCACGAGTGACTGCCACAACCACTGTACCAGCTAGGGTCATAGCATCAGCATCTTCTTCAGTGCCATCCTCTAGTAAAATAGGCTGCCCACCAGCTGTTGACACTGCCAGGTTTGTTTTATTGAACTGTAAAAGATAAATGTATTGGTTTGTTTTATTTAAAATAAAAACACTGATAGGGTTCATTAAATAAAATATATATTAAAAAGTAAATTTAAATTGATAACATTTATTGAATTAGGTTTATCAAACTAGAAAAAAAAAGTCTCTTCACATAAATTACAGCATAGACTATTGTTAAAAACAGTACAATAAATAAGGATGCCATCCTCATCTAGAAAAATACATTTTGAAGCAGCTGATTGGTCCTAATGCTCAACAACAATGAACATACCCAATAAACATCATAGGCCTAATGACACTGGATGGGGGGGGGGGGGGGAAGGCTATTTCATTTTTATGGCACACAAAATCATAACTGTTAGGCTTAATCGTAATATTGTAATCTGGGTGTCATAATTGTAAAATTATGGATAAAATCACAGTTAGGCAGCCCTGCTGAATAAAATAAATTAAAACAATATCAAACCTGAAGTGCTGACAAAAAGTAAAACTTAAGCCCCTCTAAAAGTGTAGCTCTCCTAATATCAGGGTGAAAAGACACACCTTGTGGGACTTCCTGATCAACAACCTCAGGCAAATATCTGAAATAAGTTACTCATGCAGATTCATTGTGTAAATGCTTTTGTTAAATCAAAATAACTAGTTTAAAAATACCATTTGTTAAAATTCAAAACAAAATACTGCCAGCTAAAATAATTTTAAAACATTAATTCAGAAAAATATTTATCAATTTATCAGAAAAAATGATTTAAAAATGTAGTTCAGAATTGTCTAGAATTTCCCATTAGTTTATAGATGTCCTTATCTTGTTATTACTTGAATGGGTCAGGCTTTTCTTTTTCTCCTCTATGGTATGAGTACAGGTCATCCAGGTACTGGGGGGTGACAATATGCTTCTGGTTGTTGATGGCACATATCACCTGAAATACAGATCAAGCTGGTTGGCTATATACTATCATTTTAAAATACAAATAAATCATAGTATGTGAGAGTCATAATGATTTTCTAATAGAGTACATTTGAATCAGCCTCAAAAGTTTTTTTGCTGTAACATTGTCTGATAATATTTAATTGTCCACAAAGATAACATACACATTTAGAAATAAGCAGCAAAATATTTCCTACTCTTACTGATGTTTTTAAGCTTTAAAAGTGGCTTATTTTAGTGGTTTAGAAGTATTAAAAACAAATGCTACTAAGTTATAAGTTTAAACTAACATCATTCTCTTTAAAAAGTTAATTTTATGCATGTTTATTCCCTCTATTATTATAATCCAACAGAATAATTAGATCTATAATCTCATTCTAAAATCTATGTATGTTTGAAAAAGGTAACCTTTATTGTGACATTAATATTTGACATGATGAGCAGATCACATGTTGGACGCCACTCTCTCACAATATGGCCCCCAAGTAAACTCATGACTTTGTGAAGACATTTCTTTGGTGCTTTCTCCAGGCAGGAGGTGGTGGCAATAAAAGGTTCATACACAGCCCTATCAAAACACAATTTTTGCAATCAAATTTAAGTTAAACAGCTATTCCACTAATTTAACATCAGATTTTTAAATGTATCAAACAGTCAGTTTTTGTGCTTTTAGGTGAAAGAAAAACAAAGAAATCTTAATATTGAACAAATGTTATAGGTGTCTTAAAATAGAATTATTAAAAATTGAATGTGAATAATGTGCATCACAGAGAAATTATAAAAGAATAAAAGTAAAACAACTTTCAGACCTGATTATCAATAGGGGAAATAAGGTTGACTTATTGGATTTAAACAAGCTAACCAGAGCTTTCGCTGGTATATGTTTGGATATTATCTGCTCGAGTTATGATCATTGGTCAGGCAAACTGAAACAGGGATAAGAATCAAGCAATTTTCTCACGCATGTTACCAGTCGCAAGGTATGGGTTTCCTCCACACTTTTGCCTCCTCCATGAACTCATGACTTACAGGGTGGGTCCTACCTCAAAAATGGCATCACCATGGAACCAATACTCTACCACTAAACCCACACCAAACCTTGACAAAAACATACCTAAATATTGATGCCGGTGAGCCACCAAACTTGATTTCATCATTGTGCTTCAATGTGATATGGGAACCTCCAGGTGTTTTTACTGGCTTACCATTCACAAAAGTTCCAAACTTTGATACATCCTCTAAAGTGAGTGTTGGTGTCACAAATGATTTGGCCTAGAGAAAAACAAGCAGTATTCAACTTTAAAATACAAGTCAACTATGACTTATTTTAGATTGTTAAACTACTAAAAAAAAACAATAAACTACAGATTTTTTGAGCTTTTAAAAATTACTAATACTATAAAAAATAGTCAATGCGATAGCAATAGCATCCAATTTAACAGTATTATAAAAAAGTTAGTAACTAAATAAGTGATGAATAACAAAAAACCAAAACAGAAAACTAAAGTGCATCCAATAAATTGATGGGTTCTGTTAAAGTTAATGGAGACAAAAATTTTAGAGTTATGCAAAAAAGCTTACTATAATCATAAAATTCAATAGCTTTGAATTACAATAATTTACTACCATTTTCAACATAATGAATTAGAAGCATTTGTGCTTTATGTTAAAAACATTCTTACCACATTGGATTCATAATGAGCCATGGTGAGAACAGCCTGTCTGCGACTAACTGATGCATCTTGGATATTGATGTCACAGTTCTGCCGTCCAACAACATAGTTATGGTCCCCTACAAGGATGAACCTCAAATCTTGGGATTTAAAAACAACAAAATAATATTGAGCCATGGTGAGAACAGCCTGTCTGCGACTAACTGATGCATCTTGGATATTGATGTCACAGTTCTTGTGATGTGACATGTAGTGTACTAATTTGTGAGTAAACGAAAAATGAAATCCACATGGTACTAAATTTCACCACCTACTGTTTCTCAAGTCAGAACTGTAAAACTACAGCCTGTTGTTAGCTCCACTAAAATAGAGTTTTCCTGATCGTACACTTTCTATATTCAAAATTCTGTACCTGTATCTGACCCTTGCCTTGAAATAACTATTATGTGAATATTGCTATTTGAGTACCAGCGCCTGTTTCTAACCAGTGTACTTACATACATATGTAGGATAATTTATTTAGTTAGTTACTTAGTTAGATATAAGATATGGTACTTCTATAAGAGTATTCTAGACTCTAATCTAGAGTCTAGTCTAGACCAGGGGTCTCCAAACTACGGCCCGCGGGCCGGATGCGGCCCGCAAAGTCCTCTCATCCGGCCCGCGGAGATCTTTTTGTCCACGGAAAAAAAACGTTTGTTGGTGATGATGAGGAACTTTGCGCAGAATAAACAAAGACATGCCTTGAACTAACTGGCCCCCGAACTGAAATTTGGTAGTAAATGCGGCCCTCGGACTGAAAAGTTTGGAGACCCCTGGTCTAGACTATCTATTTCTAGACTTATTTATCTAGATCTAGTAACTAATAGTAATACTTAATTTAATACTATAGGCCTACTTAACTTAATTAATGACTTCACTTCGGCCTATAAACTATAGGCTACATAATTTTACAATCTAGAAATATAGAATTAAGATGTAGGCCTCCTATAGTGAATATATCTCTAGATCTACATTGTAGTAAATTAGTTTAGTTTAGTAAGTTAAACTAAGACTCTTACTAAGACTTAGTCTAAGTTTTATGTTTTTTTATTTAGTTAGCGGTAGATCTAGATCTAGATTCTAGATCTGGTAGCAAAGTAAAGTTACGTAGCCAGTAAGTAGTCAGTAACAGTAACTGAGTATGCCTAACAAAACAAACAACTAGATCTACTATTAATATTACTAACACAACAATACATTAGTTACATTTGTTAAATTTGTTTGTTACATTTTTATTTTATATGACATTGAATTGTTACAGAGTCAAAATGAGTGACAAGTGACAATTAATATATAGATTCTAGATCTAGATTTCTAGATCTAATATTCATTGAAGCCATTTTTAAATCTGTAAAACATAATAAAATATTGTTAGTCATGAGTTACTCTGACTGACTCTTGCCAATTGAGTCATTGACTTGTGTTCACACTTGTGTGAGTTAGCCTGAGTTACAGAGTTAGGCAATTGTGCTAGACTTACTTAAGTACTGAACTTATACTAGAACTATGTCTTACCAAGCTGAGATGTTGATATCAGCTCCCACATTATCCAAGCAAAAGGATGATTTAAATTCAGTTGAACAGGCTTTTTTTTAACTTCCAGTTTCCAATAGGCCTACCATACCATCGTTTACTTCTAGATTTATTATTATTTATTTCTTTGCTTTTTCTAGCTTAGTGGTTAAACTTTTCAATAATTTAATAACAGTAAAAGCTTGACCTTGCCTAACAAACTTTTTCCAGGAAAGAAAACAAAACATTGTTTATAGAATCTGGCCAAATGCACTCAAAACAATAGTCAAAGTCAGAGGACCTAGATTAAAGCGGCTCACCTACAAAATTGTATTTTTATCTTATCTAAAATATAGACCTGCTTTTGGTAGATTCCACTTTAAAAAACTACTGGGTGAGCATCATGGTTTTGGTTGCTTAGCGTGTATTGCGGCTTCGTAATTTCTAAGGGCAACCATTTTGGAAATGGCGCTGACTTCCCCTTTCGCTTTTTGTCCCAGGCTTCCGTCACCGCCGCGCGTGAGTCTAAAAATAGACTAACGGCTTGTTCCAACCGGCATTTTGTTGACGCTCTCTTCCCTTCGGGTTTACTTGACATATTGGAAAATATTTTGGCGGACGATATTTATTAATTTAGTTTTTCTTTCTTCGGATTATTGGAGTCAAAAATAGAGGTAATTTCAGCATTTTTTTTCTATTTGAATTAGATTCTTGTTCTTGTTAAAAGTTTGGTTGTTCGACAGAGTTTTGCAAATTTTCTTTAAATTAAGTCTGAAAACGGCTAATTTCCCACCAACAAGTCGTTTAAATGTCCCTGCAAAGTCTGAATCGATAGCTTTGTAGCCGCCATTATTTTAAAAAGATTTTTAAAATATTGTATATTTAATTTATTTATTAAGTTTTTTAAAAATAGCATTATTAAAAAAAACTATTTTACGAAAAAAAGTAATTAGGTTTAATAGTGACAGTGGAGTGTCATTAGGTAGATTTAGTTAGATCTAGATCTAGAATCTAGACTAGATTTAGATTAGGTTGAATTATGGATTTTTTAAAATAAAATATTCTGTTATTTCAAATACACCATTAACTTCCTTACCCCTTAAGAGAACATTTGACACCTCATTTAAATATCTAGCTTACTCGGTTGACGAGAAAATAGAGAATTTGAAAATTAATCAAAAATGGAAAATGAATGACAAATCAGCGTTCTTGGCCCTCGACCGGCATAACATGACGTCGTGGACTTGTGTGCACGAGCTTTTAATTCCCGCCATGGTAATTGCGTCAGCTTAGGTAATTTACTCACCGGAAAATAACAAAAAGCAACTCGTTGATAATAAAACTATATCTAGTTATTTTATTATTTATTAAATTCTACTCCACATGATATTCATACCATTTTATGAAGTAATGAACACCTGCATAAATCAAATGACCATAATAAATATTTTTATTTCAAATTCTAATTTTAAATAATAAATATGCTTAAAATAATATGATAGTAATAGTTATGATAGTTTATAAATACAAATACTTTTTACACTCAATTCACATTGTATTGAGTCAACAGCGTGGCAGCTGAGGTTCATACATGGTATTAGTGTCTTTTTTTTTTACATTACATTTTTTTTTTCATCTTGAAAACATGACGTATGTGATTATTTTTTTAAAATAAAATCTCCAAACATCGTCACTCGCGTGATTGCTTGCTTACGTTTACTATCCTGTGGATGAAAAATCCCACCACGGTCGCGGGGTCACAGTGACCTATAGTACACGTCATAGAATGAACACGCGTACACGAGATGGTCGGTGTCTTCACTTCTCTCTCTCCCCCCCCCCCCTTCTTCAAGCAAATTTAATTACAGACCTACTTCCCTACTTCTGGTCATTTTTTTTAAAAGTTCGGTCATTTTTTTTAAAGTTCACATATCAGGCATGCTAGACAGCCAGCTGTATAAAAAAAAAATTTAACTAGATCTACGTCTAGCTTAAAAAAATAAATAAATAAACGCTTAAAATGACCGTAAACAGATTATTTAGCGCCAAAAAAAAAGGCAGCTGAACGAGCATTTTTTTAAAATACGCAGCAATGAAAAGGGCTAACGGCCGATCAAGTCTAAAAATCGCCAGTAATTAGGCCTAGCTCTGAAAAAGGCCACTGAACGAGCATCACTGATTATATAAACGAATAGGCCACGCAGCGTTGACGAGGTTAACCACCGGTCACGAATGCAGCAACTGTCGGCCCACAGTGAAGAAAAAATCAATATACTAATAAAATTACTAATACAATAATAATGTCCATAATTTTACTTTTTCCACACATGCTACAATTGAATTATAATTAAAATACTAGACTTAACAGTTCATTCCGTAAAAAACAAAAACTAGTTGTTTCTGTCTGGCAACTAGCGTAACAATGACGCAACGTTACTAAAAATAGCAGAGAGAAATTGTCGCATGGTTACTTACGGGGTAATTGGATTTTTGGTAAAGATCATCCATAATACTGTAAATATACATGGTAAATATCTCAATTATATATTAATCTACCGTTATACGGGCCGTTTTCCCCGTTATACGGTCGTTTTTGGCCGCGGTTCAGTTTATACGGAGAGTGCTCCACTGGAAATCCTCTCATTATTTACAACTACAATTCTAGCGTTTTTTTCTGGCATTCTAAGGCATATTATCCATTTTATTAGCATCTTGTGTTAAAATAATGATAAGAATTTGCGAGATTAACAGTTTTTTCATTTGTCGTGGATTGGACCCTAAAATAAACGTAAAAACCGTCAGAAAACGACGCGTGACGTTTCAGGGTCAGAGGTCAATCCAGCCATCTAAGCAATGAGGCGGCCTAATTTAGATTCTAGAGTCTAAACTAGACCTAGAATATCTAGATTCTAGATCTAGATCTAGATCTAGTAGATCAGATCAATTCTAGATCTATAATCTATAAAATCTAGATACTCTATAATCTATATCATCTAGAAATCTAAATCCAAGTCTAGATCTTGTAAAATAGATCTAGAATCTAGTCTAGTCTAGATTCTTAGATCTAGATAGATTAGATCCAGATGATCGTCAAGCTAGACTAGATGTAGATCTAGATTCTATACAATACATTCTATAGTATAGTATACTATAAGCCTAATCTAGATTATTTTAAAAGATCTAGATCTCTATTAACTAGATCTAGATTCTATCTAATTTTCTAGATATAGACTCTAGATTCTAGAATCTCTAATCTACTTTTTTTTTTCAGTCTGTGGTCTTGCAGCTCTTTGATTGAAATCTGAGTGAGAAATCATTCAGCCATCGGAATCACATTTAGACATTTCTGATAAGTGACAGTACTTTAAGTGATCATAATTATTTACCTAATTATTAATTATAGACTACTTTTAATTATACCTATTTAGTGTTAAGTAGCCTAATTAAATCTAGATCTAATCTAGTTCTAACTTACCTCTACTCTAAACAATAGTAACTTTTTTTTTTACTAGACTCACAATTTTAAAAACAAATGGTTTTTTTTTTTTGTGTGAAATAAACCTAGTAGGCGTAGTCTATTTATTTTAAAATAAACCTTATGCCTAGATATCTATATCTAAATTTTCCAAATGTATTTTCAGAAGTTCGAATGAGGAGATGGAGATGGCTGGGCCATGTCCTACGCATGAGCAAAAGATGACTCCCCAACATGGCACTGGAAAACGAAAGAGAGGAAGACCACTGGGAACATGGAGGAGATAGATGGAAGAAGAAGTGCAAGCTGCTGGCAAGACCTGGCATGAACTAAAGTGGCTCGCCCAAGACAGAGTGGAATGGCAGGGATTTGTTGCTGCCCTATACTCCACAGGGAGTGATGAGGATTAAGTAAGTAATTTGTAATAGACTACTAATGTAACAGACTTTTTTCTAACACTAATTGTTTATTTTAGTATACTAAGTCATGACTTGATTCATCAACTTACAGCTATAAAATACAGTTGCACAGAACTTCCTTTATAATTCATATTTTTCTACAATAAGTAAACTAAGAAAAGATACTAAATCATTGCAGAGAAAGCAGACACAGATCCAGTGTTGGAAGAGGAAGTATTTTACATAAAAGAAAAAAAAAACAACAGATGTCAAAGCAGGTATTGGCTGGTGCAGAAACAGCATGAAAGGGTAAGTTATTGATGATTTCAAACATAAAATATGCTAAATTGCAGGTTAGGTTTCAAAGAACAACTGGACATCTTCAGCAAGAGAATTGAGAACCAAGATTGATAGTGTTAAATGGGAGATGGATTTGCTGACAATGACAGAGTATTGAAGGAGATAGATGATGCTTTAAGAGGAGAAAGGGTCAAGATCTCAGTAAAGAATGACATTGTTCAGGCAGAGAATCTCAAACTGATTGAGGAGTTTGACAGGGTCATCGACACAAATCAGTTACAGCACAAAATAGACACAGACATTCAATCTCAAATGAAGAAAAAGTTGGAAGCTATGGAACGCAGAGATACTGAAAATTCCATCTATGATGTGTTGTCTGGATCGAATGTCTCAGTAAACCATCCCCTATTTCGTGGTGTTGACAGAAGCTGAAACCCTCTTTGTCAAGAATTGTGGGTGGTAAAGACCTGGTTGTTGTCCAGCTGACTGACAAGTGGGAGCTAGATGATCAGAAAGTGCATCGCTATTATGTGAGGATTATTAACAGAGTACTAGCTAAAAAGAACAAGTCTGTTGTCTACACTGTAGGCTACTGGGCACCGGATGAGGATGAAGCTGAGGACTTTTGCCTACCTGCTGAGTCACTAATAGCTGACTTGATTAGTAGTGATTGATTTTTTATAGAATACATAAAAATTATATTGGCTATTACATTTACGCAGCAAAGCAAGTTAATTGAGTAGGTTAAAAAATAAAGGTTGGTATGTAATGACATGGTATTATTTTTTTTTAATCTCTTTTTTTATATTTTACTTATGGTATTCTAATTTGATACACAGTATAGTGTAAACAAATCAAATAACTTTTTTTTTTCTTTGCAGATTTTTGTATCTTTCCTGGACTGATGACTTTCATTCAACCTGATCATTTTTTTATTTGCATCAACTAAAACTTGTTATATAAATCACTTTGTTGTACTCACACCTTAAACTTAAACCCATTATTACTTTTGTACTTTTCATTGATAATTGAAATTTATATAATTGCATCTAAATCTAATAAATAAATATTTTTTGGAAAGCAAACCATTTTGATTCTTTTTATCTTTTGTTTGAATTTGAAACCAGGTCTTGTATAAGAAATTATACTGGTGGGTCTGTGAGTAACACCATGTTTGCACTTACCACATGAATACTATACATGTCTAGAAAAAAACAACAATCTCCAATGAGTAAGCCTTCATATACATGTTCTGATAAAATAAGCTTATGCTGAAGTTTTTTCTCTAGACTTGCGCAATTCACAGTGCAACAACAATTATTGGAAGTAAGCAGTCCATTAATAAATAAATATATATTTATTAGACACCAAATTACATATTAAATATTTAGAATGAATAAATAATCATAGTGAGAGATAATGGTTCCATTAATTAGTATCACTAGCTTAACAGATGAATTTTTATAACTTACTATAATGTGTTCAAGCAAGGTTAATATTGATAATCAATAGGCCTTACTATAAGAAGCAGCTGAACACCTTTGTAGAGGGTCTATATAAACTATATTATAACATTTTCACTATTTTAGACAATGGTATTGGTATGAAATTGTTGGTCATGTAGGGCCCTACACAAATGTTAAAACCTAATAATAGAAAAAAAAATATTTTGCTACTACTAGGCCTACATGGTGGTTGTAATTCAAGTTTTCAGTAGGCCTATGCCTAATAATTTATTCAATTATTAATAGGCCTAGTTGTGTATAGTAAATAAAATTTTGATTAGTCAAACTCATAATAAAATACTACATTAACAATTTATAGTAAAATGACGAAAAGTCCGAAAATATAATTTGACGCGTATGACGTCATCAAGTTGTGTACTACCAATATCGGAGACACTTTTTTTTTTAATGTAAGAGGAAAAATAATGGTGGCAGGTTAATCCAAATTTTTTATAAACACAAAAATTTTAAAATCGAAATAGGCTAAATAAACTTTTCCTAGACACACACAGAGTATAAAAAGTAGTTTCAGTAAAAAATTACGCGTCGATCGGTATCTTTTCTTCCCGAAACTAACGAATTTTCATTTTTCGAAATACACGCTATTATTAATATCGAGAATGTGGAGTGGATGTTTTGATTTTTGTTGATGATTTTTTTTTCGTGCTGCACTTTGGACCCAGATCTTAGAATTGATATAGACTCTAGAATCTAGATCAGATTTAGATCTAGATAGATAAAGAGCCTATCTGTATTTACTATTTAGACTCTAGATCTAGATCTAACCACTGAGCTAGGTCCTAGCCTAGACTAGATCTAGCTAGACTAACTATCTATAATAAATCTATATTATTATTCATATTACTATAACTAAGTCTAGAATCTAGAACTAGATCTAGAGAATCTAGAGTCTAGACTCTAGAGTTAAAGTAAGTAAAAGTAGGCTCAACAAAAGTCAACATCATGTCATCATCATCATAGACTCATAGGACATAGACATAGAGATTTAATTTTATCATTTAGGCCTAGATAGGCCTACAGATTTTTAGTAGACTACTTACTTAAAGTAGACTCTTTCTAGACTAAATCTAAATTAAAACAGTTAAAATAGGCCTACTCTCTTTTAAAAAAATATCATCTAGCTAGACTCTAGATCTAGTTTGGAATTCTACCTATTCCTAGATCTACATGTTTTGAATGTTTACAATACAATACTTGATTAGTAGGGGCATATACTATATGATCTATATGGCAGGAAACAGATTCAACCCTCAAGCATCTACTTTTAGGGTCGATTTTCGCCAATTTTCAAAGTAACAAATATTGACATATTATATATCAATTTTGTTGCTTAACAATCGAGGAATTCAAAAATATAAAAATTAATAGCACTAGACATTTACATCACGTTCAAAATGTAGATTAACCACACTCACTCAACTGAGATTTTTTTTTACATCTAAATGTAGTGAGGTCCAAAAATCCACGAAATTCACAAAATTAACAATATAATTACACAGAAATGTCACTTAGGCATACATTTATTTGTTATTATGTCAAACTTTACAAAATATACCAGTTTATAGCTTATTTCTATAATTATTCTTGAGAAAAAAAACGACCGCCCTCCCCTTTAAAATTCTGGCTTTTAGAAACACTCTGGGGAAGAAAAAAATAACAGAGTTAAATATAGAAGGTCTATATAAAAAACATAATTAATAAAATATGTCTATATGCCAATTTTTAATATAGTTGCAGCATTTACATGGCTAATTATAATTGTTTAGTACTTTGAACATTAATTTAAAGTTACGACTGTCTGTGGCGTCATTCAAGTGTAGTGTCAGTGTAGGTGAACAGGGTGTTAGGGCCTGATACGATTTCATTAGAATTGGTAGTGAACAGAATGTATAATTAGAACTGGCATATAAAAACAATGTTGATAATAGATGCAGTTGTTTTAATGCTACTTATAATAGATCAAAATGACAAACATAATTAAAACCTAAGAATCTGGAAGCGGTGACCTCATTTTACTGACACGGTTGTCAAATAGTAAGTGAATAGATCTAGATTTAGAATCTACGTAATTTTGAAAATACGCTAGTTCTAGAAGCAAAATCACTTTTAAAAACTGAAGTTAGTGATTAGATCTATAATGAAATTGAAATCAACAACTGATATGTATCTTTTGATTTTAAAAAAAAATACGCTTAGTTCTAAGAAAAAAAATTCTATGGTGTACTCGATCCCTATCCCAAAACGTGCCAGCCATATCGCATGCGTAGTCAGCTACTCAGCTGCTTATCAAATCGATGAATTTTAAAATTATATAATAAAAGTAGGTCACCCTAAAAAAAAGAGTAAAATGGCTCCCGTTTTCACGACAGCCGTCACTCGATTCATAATTTACAGAGTTATAAAGTTCTACTTTCTTTTGGCTATAGATTTAAAGAAATATTAATTTGTTATTTCTCATGCGTTCCAACAATTGTACCTAATTTTAATAAACATTAGATTAGTAAGGACTCGATTCTTTTTAGAATTAGCCCTCGACACTATACAGACTATTGCGAAGAAACAGACTCGCGCGAATGTCGTGCGTAGGCTGGTTCAGTGGCGAAGGTTAGAACCCAATTTGCGACGGAAAATTTTTACTTTGAAATAATTACATTATCAATTAATTTCGATTTAAAACAAATGGCTTAAAGTCAAAAGTAAACTAAAATTTAAAAACTTTGTTATTCGCAGTGTACTCAAGATTATCGTGTTTTAAAGATAAGTCTAGTTTTACTACGTGTGCGTGCATGGTGCGAATACCGATTTTCCGCAACAGAAAATCATTAAAAATATAAAAAAAAGTATCTACGGCAAAATAATAATTATATTTTACAGAATTAAATAGATTTAACTTAACTGTTATTTAAATACATGCTTCGGAGTAAAAAAATACAATTTTATATCCGTAAAAAATTAACTGAAATTCCCGCTTTCAGCGACGCCGATGTGTCGTAATTTTCGTCAGTCATTTTGTTCAAATTAAAGTAAAAAACGCATTCAAATATACTTTTTTTTACTTTCATAATTTTACAGCAATCATTTCTAATGAAAAATCCATACAAAAAAAATAGTTATTTTTACAAAATATTATTTCTTACCTCATTAGTGCAGTACACGTACTTTCCAAGTAGATCCATTCCGTCTAGATTTGCATACTTCGCATCCTTCGCCGCGGCACAAAATGTCATAAAAAACGAATTCCACAAAAATGTTGCTAACGAAGCTTGTAAAAACCTTGCTCTATTTATCAGTATAAACAAAATCCCCGAACGATGTCTGGTTAGAAAGTTTATGAACGGCGAAGACCGAATATGCATTTTGCGGTACCAATCTGTTTCCTGCCATATATATCTTCTATTATTTGGATTTAGAATAATATTTAGCCTAGATGACATAGGATATTACTTAAACATTATATGGAGGAAATACCTAGGCCTAATTCTTTAAATAATGTTGGCAAGCTATATAAATAACTAGGGTTCAAGTTTGTTTTTTGATAAAACTAATTTTATTATCATGGTATTTCTTGATCAGCCATACCCAGATATTTAATAAGTTTTGTTTATTTAAATTCTTGCAGGCTCTTCATCAATAAAGAATCGCAGAATACTCTGATCAAAATGGCTGTGGAAAATGATTCTGGAGTCTCTTATCTGTGTCTTAAGATAGCCAGAACTTTCCTCTATCCCAGCTTTCTTGCATTTAATTTGCTCATGAGCCTTTATATTACAACATTTGAGGAAGAAAAGTACCCAAATACAATTTTTATTAAAAAAGTTCTACTCACCCCAGTGTACGGGGCACTTTTTATTCTATTTCTTCCTCTTCTCATAATTTTTCTCCCTGTACGATGTGGTATATTATACTTCCGTAAAAATCATTTCATGGTATCTGTCAAGCATACAACACTCACAGAGTCTCAACGCCTATTCCAGAACGATCTCATTAGAAGTGGGAAGTATAAATTTGGCATAGCAACAGCTAATTTGTGTCTTATGCCTGAACTGGCCTCTAAAATGAATCATCTGATAAATGTTAACTACAGAGCAAGAAAAATTGGGGAAAAAATACTTGCAAACCAGTTCTTCAATGATGAATGGAACAGCAAAGAGATGGAATGGAAGATATCAAAAAATAAATCTCAAACTTTCACAACTTCTAACTCTGGAGACCATGATAGAGGGATAGAGCTTGAGGGAAATGTTTGCACCAACTTTCCACGTGTTGATATAATGGCCATTCAAGAAGCTTGGTCCAGTTATCACAATAAAACTCTAATGAAAGAACTGCACAAAGTATTTCCGTACATTGTACATGATGCTGGTGTTCATTCCTACAGCAATAATGCATTTTTTCTAAATAGTGGCCTTTTGATAGCAAGCAAGCATCCCATCCTTGCTATTGATTTTAAGCCATTTTCACATTTTGTCAAGCATGGAAGAGTACTCTCCAATGGCCTTCTAATGGTCAAGGTACTAACTGTACACATCTTATATTACGTCTCAATTCTCTGGGGTTGAAGGGGGATGGGGGGTAGGCTTTAGTGATGATGACTAAAGGAGGAGATGGGGGGGGGGGCTGATCGTGTAAAATCACACATTAGCAGTTTTATAATTAATTATTGAAACTGATTTTAGCTGTTATTTTGCAGGTGCTAAAAGTATCACTGAAATGTACAAGCTATATAAATAAAAATATATAGCTATGAATATTTAATAGCTTAAATCGTCAGAAATACTTTTGCCTATGGAGACAGTTTTAAATAATGTTTGCAATATATTGTCAAATCTTGTTGTTTCCTTTCTTATTTACAGAATTGTTTGAAAACTGAAAGTTTGCTATTTTGAGGTGTAGATAACTCTGGGTTACAAATAACTAATTATTTGGGTTAAAAAAAGGATATAGCTTATGGGGTGATAGAGGTTAAAGGAGGTACCAAGAATTTTTACTTTTTCAAGGTAACGAGTGAGAAAGTTTAGAAAAAGATAATCTTAACTCATTGTTTTCTCTCTCAGGTAGCATTAGGAGACCAAAAGAATAGTGGCAGCTATGTGGGTTATGTTTTCAACACTCACCTACAATCTTATCAAGGTAAGATACATTTAATATTTTTATGCCTACAATATGTTGATTCTTCATTCATTTCAAGTAATTATTTTCCCTCTTCTCATTTGTAGACATTTAAAAAAGTATTCTAGAGGTAGATTATTCAGGCTCAACGCCACAAAATATCTCTTATGTGTCTCGAAATTAATTAGGAAAATGTGCTACCCATTTATACCTATTTAGCTGGGGCTATAGGAACATGAGTCTACTTCATCTAGCCTATCGACAACCTTTTACATTTGGACAAAAACAGAAATTCTAACTTTTTTTTAATCCTACCAGGTAAAGATCAAATAATTCCCAAACAGTTGGATGAGATCAGAGCCTGGATCAGCCAGTTTACTGAGAGAAATAGGAGAGATGGAGACAACATCCTATTCAGTATTATTTGTGGGGATTTTAACTTTGACACTTTTTCACCAGGTATCTGTTTTTAGATTTTTATCAGACCATGTTTCATCTTCTAAAATATCTTTTTATTTAGTCAACTTATAGGCCCTATCTTGTTTAGTATTCAAGATTTGACAGAAAGATTTCATAAAATTCTTTTTCTTATTCATCAGCTGATAAAGAAAGCACACAACATCCAATATTTTCAGAGTTTGTTGATTTTTGTAGAGTTAGAGCTGGTCTTGATAAGCCATGGACTGTTGGTGAGATTTTGTTGTCTCGTAATTGCTATGTTTGATTTAGAGTTTACCAGTCTTTTTAATTAGTATACTAACTTTTTAATGGCTTTTAAAGGTTGTTTTTTTGTTGAATTCAAGGTACTGAAATGAGGCCAGAGTTTATGTTGGACAGTCCTGTAACAACACAAGAAGGTCTGAAAAAAGTTTTAGAAGATCCTGTTCTGCGTCAGTGCCATATAGTGGATGCTGACATTATTGAACACAGTAAAGAGGTGATTGTCAGCGGCTCAGTCAAGAAGGATGAACATGGGAATGTAAAGCTGTTTCCAGAAGGTGGAAGGCGGAGAATTGACTACATACTGTATAACAAATCATACCCACTGGTAAGTTGTTCTTTACTTATCTTGATGCAACCAGTTTAAAATATTATTTCTTTTAAAGAAATGATTACAGTTTTTAGTATACTCTGCGTATTAATTTTTACAGAAGGTTGAGAGCTACAGTTTTGTTACAAAGCTTGCTGGCCTCACCGATCACATTCCAGTTGCTATGGAGTTCATGTGTGAAGGATTGAAGTAAACTATCTACTCTTTAGTTTTTATTTGTTTAAAACAGAAAAATGGCAAATTCTTATGTGGTATAGTTAGTTTTAAAAAGTAACTCATGGTTACATTTTTATAGGTGTTTTTTTTTCATCAGTTGTTAATTAGAAAAACTTAATTGATATACCCTTGTTATAATGTTATGCCAACTTTACAAAATTATTGTCATTGACTTATGTCTCATCATTTAAAAGTGATTTAGTAGTTAATTGTAATAGCTTGTAAATTATTATACTACAGCTAATGTTTTTTATGTACATTCTGTTATGACACAACAATCATGTTAATGTTAATGCAACAATTATATACAAATATAAATATTTTTATATATCTGCTATACATCCCGCCATGAATTCAAACTAATTTACAGTTGAAATATGCCAAGTTGTGTTACTAAAATAAGCAATATGTACTGCCATTAGAATTTTCTTTTTACTATTAAGTGTTGCTTTTTCAAGACCATTGAACTTTCAACATAATTTATTGCAGCTTTTGTTAGTAATATGTTGTTTTTCTTCTTTCTTTATACTAAGATACATTACTGTTTATTTATCACTTAATTTTTTTTTTAGTGTTTCTGTAATAAAAAGGCACTTCAATGCATCAGACATTTTTTTATTTTAAGTTATATAAAATAATGTCACATTAGATTACAGCAAAAAGCTATCCCCAGTATTTGTTTGTTGGACCAAATTTCATTTTATAAAATAATGTATCATTACCAATTGTGAACTCACAATTCTGTTTCCTTTTTAGATATTTCTAATATTTATATTGTAAAATACAGCTAACAGTATTAGAAGAGATTATCTGCCTTACTTGTAGAAACTCATCCAATACTTATGTGAACATTTCTTAAAGTATGATACATTTTTTATTTACCCCAGATCTCATTACAAACTATTATTCACAATAATATATAAATCTTTAGATTGTTGTTAAAGCATTGTTTTTCTGCAATCCATTTCATGTGATAATAATTAAATTATCTGTTTTATGATATATAAAAAAACAGTAAATGTTTGCCATCTATATACAATTTTAATATTTTGCTTTAAACAGTTATAGTAATTAATTTTTTCATCCATCACCATTAAAAAAATACTAGTTTGTAAAATAATAAGACAATATAATCACAATTATGGCTGCATTGTTTGTGGACGGCTTTGGAGATTTTATTAAAACTGTATTTTTTGTCCCTGTAATCTGTTTTCAATTTTTATGACATGGTGCATTGCTGGATTTCCTCATGACTATTCATTGTGCTGATAGCACTTTGATCCACTGTTGATATGTTTACTTACTTAACCATTTTTAAACAAAAGTATACATTGACTGGTATGAAAATTCTAGTCCTATTTTTTTAAATTAAATTTGACATCTTAAAAAACTATCTCAAGATTTCTAGAAAATTAATTGAGGTACATCATGTTTTAATGAATTATAAACATGTTTAGTTGGTAGTATTTTTATGATATACACATTTTATTTAACATTCTGTTTTTTAGGTTATATAGTTGTCATTTAAATCATATATTTAGCCATTGTTTACAATGTGTTGTTTTTTTACAGTAGCATCTTTGTTGCCTTGCTAGACAAAAGGTGTCATTAAGTTCTAGTTGAAGACCAATTTTTTTAATCTTTTATTTTCTTGGTTAATTTACACAAATTACATGTACTATTTTTCAATAGAGAATGTGTTAATTTTTGTTTCAAACATAGTAGTTTTTGTAATAATTTAAATAATTCATCTTTCTTTTACTATTGTCATTACAGATGAAAATGTACATTGCTTAATGTGATTTTTTAAAACTATTTTTTGTTTTCATGAATTCCATAAAAAATTAACCCACATAGTTAATTCAAGATTTTCATTTGTTAAATATTTTAAAAATTGCTTTTTGTAGCTTTTATCAAGAGAATATCATTGCTAAATAAATGTAAAATTAAACTAACTTAAAACATAACATCCTTATATTTTGACATAAAGCCATCCACAGAGAAGAAGTAAAGATAGATTTTGTAGATTATATTATTGGTTAAATACTGATGTGTCGTATATTTTGTTTTTTAATTATTTGCTTCAAGCCTATAAAAATAAGATCATCTGTATGTCACAAAGAAAGTTTGTATAATTTAAATAATATAATAACACTAACTGGTATTATACTAACTAGATATAAGATGTTTTACAGCAGACATGTGTAATAGTTGATTTACAAAGATTTAACAAGTAATTTTCTTAGATCTCTGTGGATTTTTAGTGTAAATATAACAATTTTAGCTCATTGTACTTAAATCATTAGTGAAAATATAACATATTTAGTTAATAAAGCCTCATAATAATTAGTAAATTGACTTTTTTATTTCATGACTGTTAGATTGAAGTGAAAAGTATTATTAAAACTGTTTAAAAACAAAATATTTATAATTGTAGGCTTAAGGCCCAGTTTACTAATTATCATTATGTAGTAAACTGGGTCATTTAGGTAGATAAAAATAAATAAATAACTAAGAGACCTTATTCATTGGTTTTCTTTAAAAATGTGAGTGCTTTCGTGTGACCGATTTGGGGGTCATCCATAAATGACGTCACGCTTTTTTTGGACGATTTTACCCCCCCCCCCCCCTCACCTCCGTCACACATCGTCACAAAAAGCCAGACCCCCCCTAAAATGACGTCACACCTCCGCCTACAACCCCCCCCCCTCAAAATTGCAGTTGCATTTTTCTTTAAACATCGATATTTTTCTAAAATCTTGTCTTAACTCAGTCAAGATAGAGTATTTTAATCAATTTCCATTGCAATTTATTAAATCAGTTTTCTAAAACGCGAAATAACGTCTAAAATTCGTTTTTTAACATTGCTTTTTTATAATGCAAAAGTGTGACGTCGTACCATCTGAACCCCCCTCCCTCTCGCCACACATCGTCACAAAATTATATAATTACAAATTATATATATATATATATATATATATATATATATATATATATATATATATATATATATATATATATATATATATATATATATATATATATATATATATATATATATGTATATATATATATATATGTATATATATATATATATATATATATGTATATAATTATTTTGCGGGGTGGCCCTTTTTTTTTTCTAGTTCCGCCACTGGGGTGAGATCATTTTAAAAATTGTGTATTATCATTTTGGGCGGTCTATGGAGATCTTCTATATACCAGTAAGTTTACATCAAATAGGAAGGTTGGTCAAATGTTTTTTTTTTCGGTGCCCGAAGAAATGCCTGAAAGAAACACTTTAAATAAATGGAAATGCCGTTAGTAGCCCGCTCCTGACCACGCCGTCCCATCCCACGCTCATTTACCCACTTGTAATTATATCACCCCCCCCCCCTTCCCAGTTAAATAGGCAACCTCATGTTAATTACCCCCTTCTCAAGATCACTTATCATTGGGCCTATATGTTACCGGCAAAGTCAGAAACCCGACATTCTATAGCATGCATGGGCATTCTTATAAAATACGAAATAAATCCTATTTTGTACTAATAATATAAACATATGTAAACAAATGATGATATTTTCATTTTTTTTTCTCTGGATTAAAATAAAGAAATTTTCAATTGGATACGGAAATAGTGTTCCGGGCTGATTAGACACTAGCACTTATTTACGTGATTGACATGAAGATGGGGGAGGGGGGTGTTAGATGAATGAAAGAATAGGAGGAAATAGATAAATGTTGTGGCAGAATCGTAGTATTGATGTAAGCGTTGTATGATGTAATTAAGCATGTGTTAGTTTATTGATAAATATGAGGTGTCAGCACGATAACCCATGGCATGCCGTTTAAGACAGAGTAGCCTATACAGCTTGCCGTTTGAGACAGGGTAGCCCATGTAGTTTGCCGTTTGAGACAGGGTTGCCCATGCAGCTTGCCGTTTGAGACAGTGTAGCCTATCCAGCTTAAAATTAATTGATCCTGAGATGTATTAAGGCTGAGGTCGAAAGTACCGTAGCGTGGTACAACTAGGTGAATTACTTTGCCTGTTGTTGTTGATAACTCTTTATAGCTACGACAGTTGTGCTACGACACTGCTCTCTATATCTACGCCACTGCTCTCTAAATCTACGACACTGCTCTCTATCAGTGTTTCTTCCAGACTTTTTTCTCCGGGGGGGCACTTGAAATCTTCGGGGGGGCGGTAAACTTTCTTCGGGGGGGGCGGGCACTGTTAAAAGTATATATTTTCTATATAAATTATATAATTTTCATTTCGTTCGGGGGGCGGGCACTGTTAAAAGTATATATTTTCTATATAAATTATATAATTTTCATTTCGTTCGGGGGGGGCGGTAAAAATTTTTCGGGGGGGCTTCGCCCCCCCCCCCCGAAGAGATGCCTGGAAGAAACTCTGCTCTCTATATCTACGACACTGCCCTCTACATCTACGACACTGCTCTCTACATCTACGCCACTGCTCTCTACATCTACGACACTGCTCTCTACATCTACGACACTGCTCTCTACATCTACGACACTGCTCTCTACATCTACGCCACTGCTCTCTATATCTACGACACAGCTCTCTACATCTACGCCACTGCTCTCTATATCTACGACACTGCTCTCTACATCTACGACACTGCTCTCTACATCTACGCCACTGCTCTCTATATCTACGACACAGCTCTCTACATCTACGCCACTATCCTCTACACAAAAAATACTCTACATCTACGCCAATGTAAACAGCCGACACACAGCCCCCGGCATTGACAGTCAACTCAGAGGGTAATAAAACAATTGAACGGGAAGAAAGAATAGAAAGGACAGATTGAGCTTCTATAGTGCTAGACCAGCGCCTAAGCAGGAAGGTGTATGTGACGTAGCTAGGGGACAGTCGTCTCCTCGGGCGCTGGACCAATGGGAGTGCTCAATACTCAAATGATTAGGGGATATATATATATATATATATATATATATATATATATATATATATATATATATATATATATATATATATATATATATATATATATATATATATAGGTGGTTTGCTCAGGTTCGATTAACTGGCCTAGAATCATTCGCTGGGGAAACAGTCGTAGCTTGCATGACACCAGTCACTGTGACTGTGCAGTTTGTTTTAAAAACGACTGAGGTTGTTTATTCTTTTTTGTTCTCTGAATCTCTACCATACCACCAAGGCATGAATGTGATTGTATTCTTCTAGTGTAAATAAAGCTCTCAGACTATTTCGTCTCTATGTAGAGAAAAAAAGTTGCCGAGTCATGTCATAAATTGGAACGTTAAATATGACTCAGCAAGTTCCCAGAAATCAATCAGTTATATGTAGCCCTATCATACAACTCGCTGAAATTAATCTGTTATATTTAGCCCTATCATACAACCAGTGGCGTGCAGAGCTATGTTGCTGCCCGGGGCAAAACCAAAGGAAGATGCCCCCATAAATTGTATATATATATATATATATATATATATATATATATATATATATATATATATATATATATATATATATAAATTACGGTGTTTAAAGCGTTAGTAGCCCTACTATTGACGATAAATTATAACACACATTATGTTATTAATCAGAATACGAATAGAAAAGCATTTTAAAAAATTGACTTAGCTGAACTCTTGAGAAGACTCCATGCATATATATCCAAAAGAATGACTGACTCATTCGGGGAGGGAGAAAACAGTTTGGGGACATGCCGGATGTTGGGGGGGGGGGGGGGAGGGGCTATATGCCAAGCCCAACAAAAGAATTTACAGTTTCCATTACCCTACCGGGGTCGGGCTGCGGTCACCGTTGAATTAAATTGGAAAAAAAACTAAAAGGTCAAAGTTCGCCATTGTTTATTGCTACGACTGAGGCCACGGTTGATGTTAGGCCTAGTAAGTTACCCCCCCCCCCCCCTCCCCATCTCGAACTTGAACAATGCTGTATTTTATAGAAACACATTGGTGGCACACCTCGTGTGCAGGGAAGAGAACCACGGTCGCCGGGTGATTGTTTGGTGGCTGGCGATGGGTTGATTGAGTGAGCCCTTCCCCCTCCCCCTCCGCCTCCACCCCCTTGTACCTGGTATGTAAATTTGGGATACCCTATTGTATTCTGACCAATGTAGGTGTATTTTTTTTGGATGCCTGTACTAGTTACGGACCTAAAAAATGCTAGTCTTGTCTCGTACGTCGAAGTAGTCGGATACGTAGGAATAAAGCGTCTCGTCTTAACTCGATACATTGAGAAAATATCGATTCTAGTCATAGAGCACAGTGATTTCTGCTTGTGCGCATTGTCGATGTTTGATAGAATTTTAGTATCGCTAAACTTGGGGCCCGCACTTAATGGTCGGCTCTAGGCCCCAAGTATTCATATGCAAACCCTGTGTGGGAATAAATCCAGTAACGGCTA